TTTTGTTCGGAGTCTTGAGTACTACTACGCGTTTTGCATTTGGCAATGTCATCATGGAGAAAGTTATTATACACTTTCACATATGCAACAACTATATGTGTTATGCTTTGTATGTCTAGAAAGGACTAAGTGGTAATCACTGATCTGATCTTGATGACCGATGTCAGCAAGATCCACGCGTTTTTAGTAATGTGAAACTGGAATAGATACGGAAACTGACTTGGGTGCTAAGGCACTCAAGTATTAAGGTTTGTGTGAAAACCATATATAATTCAAAATTATTAGCTTGAACATAAAACTAACGCTTGGCAATGTCATGGACAGATTTATTAGAAGTTGCGTTAGGCTCTTCCAAGATTGAAGTGCTGAGCACATTTAATATCATAATTTAGCGATCACTAATCTTGAACAACAAATCTGTACATCAGTATAGCGAGCTTCAGCCCATGCAATTAAAAGAGCCCTTATTGATTCTGATTGGCAGTGTTTGTGGTAAAATTCTACTTGCATGCACGAGATATCAGAGTTACCGTCGGACACAGATATAATTTTTTCTAAAAAAGATAAATCTTTTTATATTTTACATATCTAAATCTTTTTTATATTTTATATACATAAGTCTTATCCTTTGTACTTGACTCTACGTGTGTACATTATTTCCTCCTTCCTTTTTTCAACTGCTCAAACCGTTGCTGAGGGACGTAACGCTTAAATGTAGAGGGATTAGCGTAGTTCGTGTCATTTTCGGAAGTACTATGAGTACACTCTGCACTTTATAAAAATATTTCTTTGGGGATCTCAAAGTTGGTCCAAATGCTTGAGAGTTTATGAGCTGCTCATCCGGAAGGTGGGAGGTGTAAATACATTGCTGGAATTATTCGTCATCATCTGTATGGCAATAATGTTTACGAGGGCCTCAGCTCCAGTCAGTGAATGCACGGAAGGGTTGACTCGTACAAGAAGACAAGCTGTGGAAAGGAGTACCTCTGGGAATCAAACAAACTGCAGCACATTGTTCTTGGACCAGTGGAAAGGTGAAGTTCTCAAAACACATGTTTTTTGTGCTATTCGTAGTAACCAAAGCTACACAATGGTTTCAAGACCGTGGAACTCTATACTTGTAAGAAAAAAATCTAGAAATCCATAATCAAAATTTTTATATTGGATCTCAAGATGTCTGACTTTCGATAAGATGTGGAAACAGTGATTTGCATATCAAAGATGGGGTGAATATTTCAATATAACCTCAGCCTTCGTCGTTGAAAAGATGAGGTTGTTCACTTTCTTCGAGTTTCGAATATCGTGTTAGCTGCCAAATTGGACAACAGGTAGAACAGAAAAGTTACACTTTTACAATATCTTTAATTACTTTTAAGATTGTGTTTCAATTGGTATGTTCCAATTTTTGCAACATGCTACTTTTCATCGTGAAAAGTGATATTTCGGAAGAGTTATCATTCGCGCAGTGTTTTCATGGTTGTGGATCCATTATAAACCACCACACATCTTCCCATCACTTTAGTATTGGATATTTGAAAGTGATGTAAGATAGAAAGGGCAAGAACAAAAATTTTATATTTACTTTACTTTATTCTTAAGCGAAAAAAAATCAGCCAGTTAGAAGGTGTTTCGCTATAGATCTAAGTTGAAAATCAAACCTCTATTTTTTTTTCAACTCCAATTTAATAATACCACTAGATACCAAAACTCTTTGTTCATTCCATCACGATGAATAATCTCCAAAATATTATTAATTAGTTAAATTCTGGATGTACTTTGATATGATAGGGTGAAGATCTAATGACATGTTTCATTTTGAACAGAATTCATCACAAGATGATAAGTCTTAACATACGCTTGCTTAATTTTTTTCTTGAGTCAGTGCATATAAGTTGAAATTTTACAGTAAGAAATCATTTCTTATCCTTATATCATTTCTTATGCACTTTGATTTAGTCAAAGACTAAATCAAGTGAGTTTGTTATTTCAGTAAAAATTAGACAATAATCATCTATGATTAGTTGTAAAACACTTTTCTATCTTTAGTAGCAAGCTTCATCTTTACTTCCATGCCAATCCTATGGAAGTTTCCCGACTAAGATGAAGAAGTATCTCAGATTGGAATATATCGTACAGAAGTTTACGTGAATCAAAATTTGAACAGTCTGCGCTATATATGATATTTGTGGGCATTGTATTGATTTGTAATTATTGGATGCACCTTCATTTAAATATGTAAAACCGAAAGAAGAACTTTGATGAAAACCCACTCTGCATACAAAATCCACAACCACACATCGAACCTAAACCCCATGAAGAGTAATCGGAATACAACCTATGAAGACACGAATAAGAATTTCTTATGAAAAGATTCAGTAGGAAAAACAGCTGTCTCGTGATTCTTCCTTCAATCTTCATAAATGTCTGTCATTGCAACAGGAAGGTCGTCTCTCCTTTTCGTCCTTGTTCCTCACATTCTGCATTTTTCCTCGAGATTTAACCCTTTCATCGAGATATGGCTATAACAGTAAACAGCACTGAGCCAGAATTCGTGAATATATAAAACTTTGATCAAGGTTCAGATAAAAATTGGGCATCCATGACTTTTACTGACACAAGGTTTAACAAAAGCTATCAGTAGGTATGATCTGAAGCCATACATCACATCAATGGAGATACAGTTTGAAGAAGACTTCGACATTGAAGCTGAAGAAATAGAAACTTTGAAAGGGAGGGTAAAAGTCACACTCCTGAAGTCTCATGAGATGAAAGATGGCATCGACTGGTGAAATGTTTTATTGAATTGAGACAAGGCTTAAACAAATTGTCTAATAATGAAGTGTAGAGCGTAGCCAGCAATCAGTTACTGTATAGGAGTCAGTTTTTGACATATCTTCACAATTGATCTTGTGCGATAGATGAGGTATCAATTAAAAAGAACTTAAAAACTTCGACATCCCAACAATACATCCCTGGTATGAAATTTACCTTAATACATGATCCTTTCGCACTTTATGATGCTCGCGTGTTCTAAAGTCCTCTTTCAGAAGCTTCCAAAAGCTTGTTCAAGAGTACTCAAGAGTTCTTATGTGAAAAATTTTATTTTAGACGTGAGTCCTGTATATTATATAATAGTAAAGGAAACTAAACTGCGGTAGGGTGGAGGAGAACCCCGCCTGAGATAATAGCATGGAACATGATGGGTCTGACCGGTCTATGTGGACCACCCAGAACATAAGTAAACTCAGGAATCTCAAACAGAGCATAGTAGCCTTCACTCTGACCGTAACTTTGGCCTCATGGAAAAATCACTCGGATGCAACTGCCATAACAGACTGATGTACAATATTCATATTTGAGAAATATCTCCATGTTCGTATAGAATCTAAGCGGAAATATCAAAGGCATGCTGCACCACCTGACACACAGCACACGCATGGATTCGATTGAACAGAATGAGCTGTTTAACGACTGACAGGTAAAAGGAATTTTATGGTTCTACTCGTCTGCGGTCCATCGACAGGAGCAGCTTTTATGTCTGTATTCTCGTGCAAACCCAAGTTTCTCGTGGGGGTCACCTCGATGCACATTTTAGAGAAGAAATATAGATGAGGTACAATACCATATTTAATGATAATAATAGGAGTCGATTTAAACGTGTTGCAATCAGAGTTAGAGTGTCTTTGGTGGATTTATAATGCAGATAACATAAGTCATTAAAAGTAGAGTATTTCTTTTATAGATCGCCGAATTGTTTAATTTAGGTCACTTTCACCTGTACTGTATCCCATGTTATTCTAAAATCAGGCGAGGTTTGACAGCATGGCATTCAATGCTTCTGCATTCGGGAATAGACACAAGTACTTCGGCCTACGATGCTAAGAGTGCAAGAGAGGAACATGGTTTCACACTATGAAGTCTACAATCATATCGTCAACATAATGCCTACGCTCAATAGTTTGCAAAGTCTAAAGAATCTAAGCGAATTTTTTCAAGATTCTCCAGGTGGGAAGCAGATCATCGTCTGCAGCAACAAGGTCTTGAGTTGTGGTACGTTCAATCATCATGTGAGGTTCATCACTTTCATTGAAATGTATTTTCATTCTCAGAGGGTTTAGTCGTGATATTTTGCCAGCAGAGCCGCAAAAAAGTCCTTGAAAGCACAGACCTTCCACAACTTTCTCGGACAGGATTATATTACCGATGTTGTACCGCATTGCCCAATCAACCAATCTTGTAAATTGTTTCAAGCTTCATCTCCACATCAACGTGGTCTTCCCATCTGTTTTCTTATTCACTTAGCCCCGGTTTCACACTGATAATGGAATGACTACCTTGCCAATGCCTATTGACAGTGTAGGTGTCAGTCGTAGAAGACATAATCAACTTCTGCCTCAAACCTATCCATTTCGAACGTTAAGTCACCCATCTTCGTAACACCGTCATTGGCTTGTGTATTTGTTATCAATAAACTAACTGTATGATCACTCTTCCGAACAGCTCCACACAGTCAATTGGTTTACACAATCCTAGCAATGCCCTAAAATTGAGCTTGTTTGTGTCAACACCACGAAGACTACACTACACTCCTATTGTTCCCTTCCTTGGTGCCCACGCCCTCTGGTTAGTACTGTACACGGGTAGTTCACAGTGTCAATCATATTCCGGTTAAGAGTACTGAAGAGTTATTCTTGCCCATTCCTCATCTGCAAATTGGTCCTTCGACAAGTTTTTCACACTTCGTTCCCACCCACCGGCGCTGGTGTAACAGGCCATAACGGAGGATTTTCCGTAACAGCGAGGATCTACGACGTGTTATCCATTAAAACGATAACTTAGCGAACAGGGGGATTATCTCCAGCACTTACGATCTCTACAAGATCGTAAGCTTACAAAGGCCATTGTAGTATGTCAATGGAGCCTGAAGAAAAATCCTTCTTGCAGTTCAGTGCGATGTTAGTTGACCAAAGTGGAGCGCAAGAGAAATATCGAGTGCATATGACGTTCATGCAAATACGAAAAAGAGGACTTTACTGCATAATGAGTTATCCACCCCAAGAAGATCTAACACCCGGGAGTGGTAACAGCAAAGAGTTCAGGGTATTCAGATCTATCACACAGTGTGTCCAAAGTACAATGGGCCGGATACAAATATTTTCCAGTGATCCCAGAGCAACTAGCATCGAAACTGAAGCCACAATCAGTGTCTATAACTGAAGTGAGGACCTCAACTCTACATGCAGGAAGATTCAGTCTATTTGGGAATAAATATAAGCTGGGAGCATAAATAAGAAGGATTGCGTTGGATGGCACATGAGGTGGAAGACATATCAAGGAAAGAAGATGACCCTTCGACTAAAAGAACCAGACCCATAAACACTCCTTCAAAATCAACGAAAACGTAGCTCTCTAACCGGGCAAAGGAAAAACTACCAGATGGTAAGAATAAACGGCTATATTTCAAAGTTTTAGGACACATTCAAATCCCACATTCAAAATTTGTAGGCAGTGAATAGTACTTACCTTTTTTTACAAAAGCGACTAATCAACAAGGTGGGACTGATTGACAATGACCTATGCTAGATTCTAACAGTAGTTAGAAAGGGCACACCTAATCCAACGTCTAACCGAAACGACCACCCCGGCTTAAAGATACCATACGACCACTATCAGCCGGTGTATTACGGTTGGCACCTCCTGCAGAGGCAGGTCCAGTCTGGTAGGGGGTCCTGCCAACACTGCTGTAAGCGTCTTGATAACGTGTACTTTGGTATCCGGAAGAGTATGAGGTACCACCCCTACCACCTCCCTGGTTGAAGCCTCGTTGGTCGCGGTTGTAGTAGTTTCCACCACCACCACCTCCGCCTTGGTTTCTCTGCCCGCCTCTACCGCCTCCACCATAACCGCCACCACGTCCTCCACCATATCCACCACCGCGGCCTCCACCGTATCCACCGCCTCCTCCATAGTTCTCATTCCTCTGTCTGCCAGATGTGGCCCCGGCATAATCACCTTGACCTTCGTTCCTCCTCTTCGTGGGCAGACCGTCCATGCCGCCTCCGGTCTTCGCGTCCAATGCCCTCTCGTTGCTCTCAACGAGCACCGTTAACTTCTCGGCAAACTGAGCTGCAAGAGCTTGGAGTCTGGAAGGCTCAACGTTGTGAGTAACAATGCTACGGGTGGGTTGGTCCCAACTAGCATGCAGCTCTTCAGCAATCATCATCTTGCTGATGATGCTGTGAACCTGCGCTTCGGGGAGATCAAACATGATCATAAGCTGATCCAGGCTCAATGAGTCGTAGTAAGATGAGAAGGTGAAAAGATAGGTTCTCAGTCCCTCCTCTTGGATCTTGGCCTTCAACATTTGCAGAACAAGCTCCTTCTTGGGCAGCAGCTTCCACACATCGAGGCCTTCAATCACCTCCACAGCTTTCTGCCAGTTTCCTTTACCGAGGGCCCGTGTGGCAGCCATGACATGGTCACGAACGTTCTCCGGTGGACCGGTGAAAGTCTGCCTCTCATTGATATCTAGCAGACGACGGAATGGCTTGCTGATCACCTTGCGCTTGATATCATGAGCGTTGGCCGCCATATTGGGCACCTCCAACAGCATTGCGCAAATCAAATGAACAGCTTCGAGAAGCTCCAAGTTGATGTGCATGTGGAAAGGCATTTGCCTCCTCCGCTCGAGCTTCTCCTGAAAATTGTAAACGCATGTATGAGAATGTGGCAATTATAAATCCCCTTCTAAATATTGGTCGAGAAAAACATATCACAAATAAACAAAACACAAGGCGTATCTAAAGACAATACCTCGTCAGCTAGTAAGGACTTATAGTGGAAGGGTACCAGAATCGTGCGATACTAGATTATTATATGTTAAGCGGGTTACAAATTCTTCCTACACGTGATGCACAGACGGGATCCAGGGACTCTTTTATATTATGAAAAGAGGAAGTAATATACATGCGTCGAATCTATATCACCTTAGAGACCAAAAACAATGACTTGCAGATGAGTTACGACGGATAAGAATGAAACTTCTTCCTAAACATTATGCATGAACTAATGAAGAGCTTAGGGCGTGAAAAGTGAGAGGAATCCTATTCACAAGAGTACCCTACCGAGACGAAAAATTTCGAGCTTAGAAAACAGAAAAGGCATAGACCTAACCAGCTCTGGTAACCAATTAACTGAAGAAGAAGCAGAAGAGCTGAATCTCGTTAGGCAACTATCAACTGGAAAAATTCTCGGAAGGTGAACTTTGCAGTACAAAAACCCTGCTTTCGTGGCATAAGGAAACTTAGGACAAGAACTGTGAGACGAAACAAACACACAAGCACTCTGCCTACGCAAAACCCAGCTGTACTAAAGAATGTAGTCGACTTGAATGAAGTCCATTCAATAATGATCGTAGATCCGTATTTCAAAGATTTATTCCCGACAATTCGTGTATTTATTCTTGGACCGATACGTTCAGTTTCTAATTGTTTCATCCGCAGATTGTACGCCATCGTGTACGTAGCGATGTGAGCCTCATGGCGGTTTCAGCATTGATTAAAATCAAGACGTACTTAGTGGCTTCTGCATTGAGCTGGAAATAGGGGCTCACCCTGAAATATAATCCAATAAGGCCGATGACTTGTTATTCGGGATTAAAGCTAGTATCCTTAAAATTGACACCGGCAAGCAAGGCAAATCTTGGAGATAGTTCGGGCTACTTACAGAAAAAATGAAGTGATCTATCACAACTGATTATAAGAAAACGGGGACGAAGAAACTAAAGAGGACAGAAATCGCAAAACAAAAACTTGGAACCATTGCTTCGGGCAACTCGGCAAACTTAATCCGACATGCGTGGGAATTGACATCAAAAGCCGTGTAAAATCCCTCAATTTCTTACAAGTTGACGGAAGGTGATGGACCTGACTGAACTCAAAAAAATACAAAGGTTACCATGCATCCATCCAACACTACACAAGGAAAGTATCCACTGGGTCGTTTCTTATATGAGATAACTTCACAGGGTAACACTGCTATCTTGGAAGTCTTCAGGGAGGTGTCCATGATGTTAACTGAACTCGGCAGACAGCAAAGAACACACGAAAGGTTACCATGCATCCATCCAACACTACACAAGGAAAGTATCCACTGGGTAGTTTCATATATGAGATAACTTCACAAGGTAACACTGCTATCTTGGAAGTCTTCAGGGAGGTGTCCATGATGTTAACTGGACTCGGCAGACAGCAAAAAACACGAAGCACGCTATCTAGACCTCACAAGAGGAAATTTGGGAACATAACTGTGTTATAACAAGGCAAGTTTCGAGAAGGAGAACTCCACATAGCTTATCCCATAGAAAATGAATCAAAACCCTAACAAGGTCAAGGGCAACAGAGCCACTCACGCAATACAGCATACAAGCATACCATACATTAGTTACTACGGTAATCTGACGTATAAAGGTCGGTAGAATCACGTCGGTCCCAAACAAAGAACCCAGTGTCATGTGGCGTTGTATCCAACACTTCAAACATGGTTCCTACATTCAGCTACAAAGTGCAAATTGCTGTCATACCATCTGATAGAACATTACAGTAAACCAAGCAGAGATGGCTGTAAGGTTGAATACCTGTTCTGGGTTCTTCTCATGGTAACGGCTCTGAGAAACCCCTTGAGCCAATAACTCCTTGACGCGACCCCCAGCATATAGCTCGGAAAGACATCCGTGCGATTCAGTAACCAAGGAGGCTCGGAAAGCACAGAGTCCAAGTTGGGCCATCGCACGGTTGAACAAAATCTGTGTAGAAACATCCATATGTTGTACACTGTCTTGCAGATGACTCATCAAAAGAAGATCCCTGGCAGTGTGGAACTCATCTGAGATGGCATGGTGGTATATGTCGCAAAGCATGGCCCTGGCCTTGGTCCTCTCGTCACCAAACTTGTAGATGGTTCCAACCAGCTGATCCATTAGACCCCTACTGTGATCAGGGAAGGTTGGTCTGCGGGGAACTGCCTCCGGAATGATGACAAACGCAGGTGGACCCTTCACATCCTCAGGGAGCTTGATATTCTTACCTTCTTCGTCCAAGTCTTCATCTGCTTCTCCGGCGGCCTCATTTTCGACCACCGCTTCAGGACGGGCTTGAATCTCAGCCAATTTCCTCATGGCCTCGTAAACCTCCTGGGGTTTGTAGTAAACATGTTCGACTCTCCTCAAAGCAACTCTAGCCGCAGACTTCATGTCATTAATTCGCTCTACATAATCTTGAATATTCTGGGCCAGAACCATGAAAAGGGGTTCATCGCGTAACCTCTCTACGTAGTCCTTGGTGTGTGGATCGATGCATTGCAGACTCTTGAACAGCTCATCGTCAAGTCTTTCCAGAAACGCAACGACATTGCCCCAGACATGGATCGGACCCTCAAAATCCTTGTCCTTTTGGGTTTCATTCTCCGCGTCTGGTTCCACGTTCTCGTCCATCACAATGTTAGGATATGCCGCAAAAACATCCAAAATTGAGAGAACATTCTGTACAGTCTTCTTCCAAACAGGAATCGGCATGTGAGTGTTTAAGCTAGGGTTGACATCAAACTGAGCGGAAACCACGTGGACCATGACCTCAAGCTTCTGGGCGGGCGTTTTGGCCACGCGGGAGAGGTAAGTCAGCTGTTCAACCTGCTCAGCTCGGTCGGTACCCTTCCTACCACGAGCTGCTATGATTTCCTTGAGCTTCTTGTCAACCATATCCCATGAGATTTCACTGGGATCTTTCATGAACTGCTTGTCCATCAGCTTATCTTTCTTACTCCTCTTCTTCTGCCACCCACCTTCGTCACCTTCCCCTTCTTCTTCCTCTTCCTCGCCTGACACAGAGTCGTCATCCTTATCGAACTCCTCTCCAGATTCGCCACCTGAATCCAAATCCTCTTCATCCGATTCCTCCTGTTCAACTTCCTCCTCGGACTCTGGTTTGGCGCGGTACTTCTCGATCTCTGCTTCATAGAGTTTGTTGTTCTTCTTGAGTTTTTGCTTCATGTAGTTCAAAGATTTCGCATTGCTGCTGCTCATCTTCTTTTTGGCATCCTTGTTTGCCAGGGCTTGAGCCAGAAAGTCTTCTAGCATGACAAGGGCCTTAATGTACAGGCGAGGTGCTGCCTCTGTCTCTGTTACCCTGATGACCTTCTCCAACTGTTTATTCACCTTCTCAAAACTTTCCTGAAGGCTCACCCAGTCATTGATTTTCATAAAGTTCTTCATCTGCTCCACTGTCAGGGCCATTTCGTCAAATCGCTTGTCCTTGGCAGACCGCACAGGCCGCCTCTGGTCATCGGATTCGTCGCTATCACTGGGATTACCCTGCAGGTAGGGATTCGAGGCAGCGGCTCCACTTCCGCCCCTCTCATCTCCTCCGGAGGGTCCTTCCTGATCCTCAACATCGGAGTTCTCCTCTTCATCGCTCTCACTGTCACTCTGAAGAATCAAGCCAGAAAATCATTACCACCTCAAATCTCATCAAATGCTAGCGGCATGAAAAGCAAAGAAAATCGCATCAGAAACAGAGAAAAAGATCGATCACTCACATTTTGAGTCCAAAATCGGGACGCCATGGCTGCGACTGTCAGACCGCAGATTCGCTAGAGCTTGTTGTCACTCGCGCGCAAGCTGGAGTAGAGGGAGGGAAGGCCTTCTCGAGGCGAAGCTCGAGCTGCACCGAAAGAGGGAAGGGAGTGATGGACCCTCTGAGAGAAAAGCCCCTCCGCTCCGGCCGCAAACCCTAAAATCCACGTCGCGCTTTCACTACTCCGCGACGCAGCGACTGTGCTTCTTGTGCCGGCTGGAGACCAATACAGTATAAACTCGGTGAAGTCCGTACTTTGATCTGAGAAGGTTTGCGCGGATTTATCTGGGATGCGAACTTTAGTTTTATCTTTAGTTATATCCAACTATATATATCTATATATTTAGACTTTAGTCATCTTGTGACTTCAATCTTTCCGCGGTATTTCTATGTTAACTATTGTCAAAAGGTCTTAATAACAAGAAAAGCCTCGCACAACATTTCAATGATTTTACAGACGTAGTGATACTTCGTACCACCCTTCACTTAATCCCAAAAAACTATTAACCCTGTGGTTAGGGGTTAACATTGACATTACTAATAGTCCTTGTATTGCAATTGTTAAGTAAAAGGATCGTTAATTTCTGACTCAATTCTTATTACACTTAGTTTGTGCTGTTCTTTTTCAACCCCGTCTACAACGAACTCATGTCGATATACTTATTAACCGAGACAATATATTTAAGATATTGGTAAGTCTATAGAGATTGATTTGAGTGAAGCCTTATCAAGAATGAAACTGGGTTCGAGACGCATGGAATAGGAAGTAGTATGAAAACCAGTAGACGTAGATACAAGCACTTTACATGTTTTTATTATAAGATTATTTTTTCTATTTTAACTCTTATGTTAGGGGTTACCATTGGAGTATTAGTACTTGTATGGCTTGAAAGAAAGATATCTGCTGCAATCCAGCAACGGATTGGACCAGAATACACTGGTCCTTTAGGAGTAGTCCAAGCTTTAGAGGATGGGATTAAAAAAAAATTAAAGAAGATATTGTTACAGCACAAGGAGATGTTTGGTTATTTAATATTAGACCTATTTTGGTTCTTACACCAGTTTTTCTAAGCTATTTCGTAATTCCTTTGGAATATGTTGTTGTTTTTAGCTAATTTTAGTATAGGGGTTTTTTTTTTGATTGCTATTTCTAGTATTGTTCCTATTGGACTTCTTATGGCTGGTTATGGGGCAAGTAATAAGTATTCATTTTTAGGTGGTTTAAGAGCTGCTGCTCAATCTATTAGTTATGAAATTCCTTTAGCTTTCAAGTGTTTTATCTATAGCTCTCCGTGTGATTCGTTTAAGTACTTGAAAAATTTTGGTAATACAATTCACAAAATAACAGGTACCATCCACGAGATCTACCCGGCGGGCACCAGACCATCATCTCATGATCTCGGCAGGTTCCTCAGTGGTTAACGGCGTGAATACAGATTTGCACTGGACAGCTCGGGAGTTGAAGATGACTCAACACACAACTGACGATGGAGAATATTCAAAAAATGTTGCCCAGACCTAGCACAGGGTTAGCTTGAAATGGACAAATGACATTAAAAGCCTCGGATAAAACAATCAAGGATAAGGGGCATGAGTCCTCATCGAAAGAGGGACTAAGTCCCCGACAGACCTGGAGCAGATAAACTGAGTGCATAAGACTAGCTTTCCTCTCAACATACACATTTGAATGAGTCATTACAATCCAAAACCCCTCAACCGAATTCAGCACCTGCTTGCATTGACTCGAAATGGTAAAAATCTTGCAGACGTTTCCTCATTCCACCCAGGCTAATTCGAGGGGGTCAGAAACTTACATCAAAGAATGCACTGACAACTCTGAGAGCAAAAATTTAAAGTCTAACTAAAAAACTACCTTCTACCTCGTCCACCCCATCCAGGGATAGAGAATAGTCTAAGGATCATTAAAGATTTACTGATCTGCCCTATAAAACTCGTTCGATATTGGGAACATAATATGCAATTCCATCTCAGATGTTCCCGTCTGTATCAGCTGAATTTAGCATAGCAGGTAACCTAACGGATGAACGGTCCTTGCCCTGAAAAAAGTTTGCTAGCCCTGTTTTACAGACAGGTGAGAACTAGTCATGGCTTTTACTGTATCAACAATTTGTTGCCACGGCGACTAGTTTTATTTTTTATATCCTTGCGGCTACCAGAGTGTGGAGGTGACCACATAGAGAATTCAAGCTGGGTTATCCCAAGCCCATGGGTGGACAAATAGTCAATATGATACATTGGCTAGGAATCTACAAAAGAATAAAGACACTCGTGCTACGAAGGCACTAGCTGGGTTGAGGTTCAATCGTTTGTGGATTCTCATATTGTTTCACTTGATTGAGAAGCCTGAATCCTGCACCCCTCGTGAACTTTCTGGCAAACAAATAGCATGGACGGGGTTCTCCATTGGAACTACACCATTCTGTTCGTGATTCTGTAGCATAATGTATACTAATAATCGCCTGCATATTGCATTCAATCGAGCAAAACAAATTAAGTAAGCAGTCAATCATAACAACCTGCATATGGCACTATCTGAAACTTTAGCTTTACGTCTATACAACTGAATGCAAACATCAGTCCCTTCAGCTTTTGTTACAGAGAACCTTTAACAAAATCTTTAACCTTTTTACCTTTGACAAAAGACAATAAATTCTACATTTCAGAAATGTAAATACTATATTCCAGAAATTGCTGCCTTAGTTGCTGCGTCGTACCTGGATGTCTTTGATAGTTTTCAGCGATGCGTCTGCATAGTTGAAAGTGATCGGATGCCATCCTCGTCTATCACGCTCCTGATCGAAGTCTTTCCAGTGACTGTATGTTAGAGTTCTACGCTCTATTTCCTCTTCAAGGTCCTTGATCTGTACAAAGTGCACAAATACATCTGTTACACCTGCATGCCTCATAAATTTTGACATTTGAGGTATAGGTTTCGACTTCATCTTACCTCACAGACCTATCCACATTCCAAGTCTACAACACAGAGTCAAGTGAGAGATTGAGAGGATAAACACTCGATAATTTAGTCTCAACCAGAAGAAAGTTAACAAACTCACCGCCAATAGTGTTTGAATGTAATGCTCATCTGGTATGCAGTTGTGCTCCTCTTCAGTTTCATTCTATATCCACAAACCAATGCATGGGTTGATTTGGCTGCAAAGTGTCTATCGAGAAGAAAATAGACCAATTTATAGCTAAATTTTATCATTTATGTTCCTATGACTTCACAACTACAAAAGCACGAAACAGTCTTTTGACAAAATACACTCGAGAACTTGCTCTCTATTTTCTGTATTTTTTATCTTTCGAACAAATTCAGCAACATTCATTTCCGTGGTGGTAAGATCCTTGAACTCACATTAAACCTTGCACGCCAATACTCTGGTAGGGCCAACCTCTGCGTGGAAACTGACATCAATCATTTTGTAGTCGACTTCTCCGATAGCATTACGACCAGGAGAAGCAACTTGGAGGTACAAATTTCCGGTATTTCGTGGTACTGCTATTAGCTTCTCATACATGACATCTTGGAACAGAGAAACTAACAAAGCTTTCCATTTATTTTCCAAGCTAAGCATTACGTCCACAATTAAAAGTTCAAGTATTCCTATACTGTATAGAGTGTTACATCTCAGTAATATGAAGAAAGGGATGGAAGAACTTCAAACTTACATACCTTGCAATATTGACGAAATACTGGAAATATGACTGTGTCATTAACAACCGCTTCAGCATGTTTTCGAATGAAAAAAAACCACTGTGACAAGAAATCGATTGTGGATTAGTCAATTTGTCGGAAGTGACAATGACACATTAATAACACCTCTCAAAACTACAAAAGGTTAAAAGCTTCTAAACTCCAGGTAAGCAAGTAGCCTCAAAGGACGCGAAGAAGAGGAGAATACCAACGCAAAAGCTTTCTCCAACAATGAGTAGAAATGTTTCGTTACTTACGATCCTTATATCAAACACAACACTTGTCATACGAAAGATACTGATATGACTTAAAAGAATCTAAACCTCTACAGCTGAGACCGTTCGGTTCAAAGAAAACCCAGTACTGAAACACACCTGTGATCCCTTTCTCCATTTATCAGAGGTGATCTGGGGTGCCATTCTCGGATCATAGCGTTCATCGGCATAATCGATGAAGCTGCATGACAAAACAAGATTTATAACTTTGAAAATTCGGAATAATTGAGAGGAACTTCAATCTTTTCTATCCATGTTCTGGGTATAGTCCGAAACATACACAAAAAGTTTGACCAAGGGAAGAGACAGTTGCGAAATAATGTCAACCAATTTCTTTTGATCACACGTCAACCAATTTCTTTTGATCACACAAGTGAGGTCAACGTGAAATTTTAGCATTTTGTTGTTCAACGTGCAAGATGGTATACCTGTCAACGAAACTTTTATGAGATGACATGACATAGTCGTAGACGTACTTGAAAGTGTATAAGGGCACGCAACTGCGATCATGCCGGGTGCAAGTTTTTCATTCAGCTATTCCCAGTGGTAAATATCTCATAAATAAACCGCAGAAGGTTTAGTACAGGATTTTGAAATCCATACCAACCTACCGCAATCTGCTTCATCTCCAACTTTCAAAGAAGGAACAAATTCAAGACTACCGCTAGCACATGTGGCTCAAACATGGAAAAACACAATGTGATAGAATAGAATTGTTTGAAAGAACCTGTCAGATAATAAAATGAAACGTTCATTCAAAGGATCCTCGAGGGCTGTAGCGAGTAACAGACGCTCTGCTTCTACCATACTTGCTGCCCCCCACTCTACCTGCAAAGCAATTTTCGCTACTTATAAATATACAAGAAAAGCTACAGGCGAAATCAATGTTCTTGCAAAACAATTGCTTTGTGCAGTAATAAGATGAGAGACCACCACGCCGCAGATTCACCTGGACATTGAGCTCCCACGATCACACACAAGAAAAGAACCGCTCTAAACCAAAGCAAAACTGACAGAGAAATAATCGACACAGCTCATACCGAAACGCTATTTTTGATTTGTCTGTTGTAGAAAGCTTTGCAATCCGTTGTTTTCCTATTGTATACCACACCAGGCCTTGCATGGATGTAGACATTGTATTCATGCTCTTCGGCACCCTGATTCGCACCCAGCCAATGTTTTTCAGATTTCTTTGAAGATCGCTGTTTATAAGTCAAATAATCTTGTACACGTTCATATTCTCTGTGGACGTAATAATTTCAATTGAGCAACCAAATGAAAATCATTCGCTTTTCAGATGAATTTGTACCTTGAAAAAATGTGCCCAGAGGATGTCAAGGGGCATTTGATTCCGAGCTAGATAAAGAAATGCAAGCTTGGGCTTCGCTAAAGGTACTTTCTCAGGTAGTGCGATGAATTCACTTTCATGAGTTGGAGTCACATCTCCTTGGAACTTCGTCATTGTCAACAGAGCTAAAGTACCCATAATCAATAGCACTCCAATGCGCCATCTCCACACGGGGTGACCATGAAATCTTTTCCTCAGAACTGTCGATGGCATCTTCGCCTGACTTTCGTAAGATCAAATATTAGTGCTAGAGAAATCTCAGCTGACGGACATCGGACAGACTTAATTTCAAATTCTAGAAGACAGACCTTACTCTCACACAACAGAGTTGTCAGCATCTTCAGAAAAGCGAACTCGTGTTATTCAACTCTCGACAGGGCATCGAGAGAACCAAAGTTCATTCATCTGTAGTTGCCATCAAATAGGATCACAGCCAAGTGTCCTTGACATTGTCCAGTTAAGCGATGTGAAATGAAATTCGCACTCAGCAGGTGCACAAGACGCGTACCTGCTGAGTGCATTGTAAACCGAACGTGTGGAGCGTTTAGAAGACACCTCAGCATAGAATACTTAGGCTTCAAAGTTGGACAGTAGTTCTTTTAACAATCAAACCTAACGTGGACGTCTTATAATAGACTTCAAATTCCACACTTACGTACGATAATTGCGCTAAGTGAAAAAGAATCAAAGTCAGAACAATACATCTTTTCATGTCAATGCTGTGAATAGGGGCAGCGAAATAGACAGTTATTGGCTTCAGACCAGCAACACGAAAAGGCTGAAGAACTTGAACGTAATCATCTTATCATCTGTTTTCTACCTGCAGGCACCGCGCAGGGGACGCAAGAAGGAGAGCAGACCTTCAAATTTTCAGGAGTTTTTCACATTGATATTTCTTCAGATCAGGTATCTGTCGCAGTTTACTTCACCGTCCCTGCCCTTACTTCTTCAATTGCTCCTTCGAAACATGCTGCCATTTTCAAATATGACAATGTTCTTTCCTACACCATTCCCCATTGCTTTCGGTTTCGGTTCTCCAGCTCGGGGCCGTCAGAGGACCCAATCACGTGACAAGGTTATTCTCTCGGAGTAGGTGCAGAAGTACGCAACCTGATCATCAAAGACAATCTCCACGCTCAAAAAGTGAAAAGAAAGTAGAGAACAGAAACCAGAGGACATAACAAAGCGATACGCAGGGCAGAAAAATTGAAACTCTGAAAGACACGGGAAAATTTCTTAGATCAGAGATAAAATCAAAGGTATCAAATAATATCCGAGTCCTGGAAAATTTTCATGACGACTCCAAGGAACAAAGCAGTTGATTATCGCCGAAGATTTAAAGAACGAAAACAAGGCTCGAAAATGTCTCTAATCTGCATGAAACTGCACACAACGACTATCGATAAAGAGCTCGTCGAGCACCTGGTACGATGGCGGGATCAACGCCGGAAAAACTGTCAAATTGAACGAAGAGCGCTACAGAAAGCTCGAGGCTATTCCGCAAAGCTCCAAGACAGCAGACGACCCCGGGGGAAGTCTCTCACCAGAGTGCAATTTCCATAATGCACGGAAGGACCCCACCACTCAGGAGAACGGGAACTCCCGCCTCTAGTGTCTCATCAACAGGTCACCCCCATCCCAGCCACTGGATACCCGACCAATACCCTTCGGCCGAAACACCACAAACCGGCTATCAGCCTTCCGGTCTTCATAGAAACGCGACAAGTGCCGGGCCAGCCACGCCGTCGTCCGTGTACAAGACGGGAATGCGACAGCTTCCATCAACAACGTAATTCTCATGATCATGTCCAAAAGCTTGCTTTCTTCATCTTTTGTGCTCGCTTGCTGATTCCTCCCGCTTTCTGCCCGAATAATTAAGCAAGGGGGACCCAAATATTGTAGCGAAAAGGATAGCTAGGACCCAATAGATTCACTATTGTGATTACGTAATCTACCGCTAACATATCCCAATTTCTGGCCACAAGTTCTGGAAAAAACAACCCTTATTGAGAAGCAACAACTAAGACCCAATGTTCTATAAAATAATTTGAGGTGAATGATAGCTCGTGTAATTCTCACAAATACCGTAAAAAATTTTACAACCTCAACATTCATATCTCCATATAACCCGCTAACAAATTCCAATTCCTGGCCACAAGTTCTGGAAAGAACAAACCCTATCAGAAGCAACAACTAAGACTCAATAATGTATAAATAAATTAAGTAGAATGATAGTTCGTGTAATTCATTCACATCCGTTCACAAGTATCACAACCTCAACATTCATATCTCCATATAAACCCTGGTTTTGAGCTCGAAAAGGAGACATATTTGCACATGTCTATGTTCTAAGATACCAGCTTTTACTGCTGCTCTCTTCACCTATCCATGAAGATGAATTATCTGTCTTTATAAAATTGTCTCTATTATAGATCACCGCAAACTCTACAACAATTATTTCATCCTCTTATACCAGGTTTAAGATTTTTTCAATGTAGTTGACCTAACCGTAAGTCATGTCAATTCAATTTTTATATGCTACTGAATAACTAGTCACTTTAATGTTTATTGCATCCAAAATAGAAATCTTACAATAAACATATGGATAAATGAAGAGAAATACAAAATCTCATTAGTGTAGTATGTATGATACAAATCACAATGTAAACAGCTACAGCAAAAACACAAAAATCATTATTATAGTAATGTCAATAGATATTATCAAGCATAATAAAATGCAATTATATGTATCCATGTATATCAAATTATGATTGAATAAACAACTTAGAAAAGGATTGTTTAATACAAAATTATTTGTATATGATACGTAATTTTGTTAATCTAAATGTTTAAACAAGTAATCAAGACTCAAACAAATCAATGAATATATGCAATGTGTTGATGTCATATAAATTTCAACAATCTGAAGATGGAAAGAACCTTCCAACATAATCATGATCTCTACTTTAACACCATAATTAGTTAGTTTCATCTTCTCTATGTATAGGTCAACTATAACAAATGAGGTTTAAAAATGAACAATAACTACTTGATACTAATGATGATCTATTATATAACTTAAATTTGAAATTAAAAAAACTAATTTCTATAGATATTTAAGGAACATAATCGTCTTTAAATAAATATCTTGAAATATATATTTCTCAATAAATTTTATTTTATGAAATTTATATAATTAAAAAAAGATTAAAATTAATCTTGATAATCTTCCATAGTTCAATCTTTTTTTTTTCAAATAAACACATTACACATAATTTTGATTCAAAAAAAGAGCTGACTATTAATTATTAATAAAATTCGAAATAAAATAAAATAAAATAATTGCAAAGTTTTAAGAATGTATAACATCTAAACGACAATATCAATTCATAATTGATTAACTTTAACTTGAATTAGATGAAAGAATTGCTTTAACTGTAAATGATACTCAATGATTATGCTATTATCAATCAAAATGCAAAGAGTTTAGATTTTTGAATCTAATGAACAAATACATATGATCCATTAAACGCTATCAACGAGTATTAGATAAGTGAATGATGTCTAAAATTTTATATGTTTTTGCAACTTATGAAATATGAACCAATTGAAAAGTCAATTTTTACATAAGTATTGTAAAATTATGAAGAACTTTGTGTATCTTAAAAAATATTTGAATCTTTATCAAGATGATTGAATGTCTATCAAAGAAAAATCAGAATATTGTAATTGTTCTTCTCGGGAAAAAAATTATTATGATAACAAAAATCTATAAGATGATATATCCACCGTTTTATAAATTGAACGCGTGATCATATACTCATAAACGGATCAAGAGAGTTGGCAAAGTGACAGATGGCACTTTCATGGTTTTTGTTGTATCTCGTTTGAATCCTAAATACCATCCAACTAGTCGTCTTTCACAATTGAATATTTCAAGATAAATCCGATCTCCATTTGTGAGGGGTGTTGCTGAAATGTTCCACACTCTTTGGAAGTTGCTTTTCTTGCTTCATCTCCACATGTCTCACAACTAACGCGAGTATTATAACCATGAATGATTCACCAACACCAAATTCACTTGATTAGAGATCTAGCTTTCAGAAACGTACACTCTGTTTAGCTACAATATTCTAAAGAGCATTTCAAAGCAAATAAAGTTGTATCGACTCAATGTACAACTCTATGACATGCTGAGCTGAATATATCAAAACAAGTGTTTCGAGTTAGTCATCTCTAGCATGCCATTTTGGAAAATAATTCCACTTTCATTTACTAGGGAAAATATGAAAGTGATTGTACGGAAAGAAAATATGAGATCTCACTTGACCCAAGTTTTAGATCTCATTCTTTTTTAATTTAATTAAACACCGTACTTCTTTGAAAATATCTTGATCGCTAAATTGAATATTGCACTTGAGTGTCTTGTAGTTTGAAATAAATGGTAATAGACCAAGCCTTATGGGTGGAAAAATATAATTTGACTAATAATTGTGATTTTAGATTATATTAAAATTCATATATAAATAATCCTATAAAAATAAGAATTTTCTTCTTTTTATAGGTTCTCATTGTTATATAAATTAAAAATCAGAACCTATAGAAATTGAAATATTTGTTTGATAATATAAAAAAAGAATATAACTAAACTAAAAATAACCCGATATTAATCATTAAAATTATTTATTAAATTAAAATAAGACTAAAAAATATTAACAGATATCTTTTGATAATTAATTTCATTAAAAAACGCATCATCTATTTCAATTTAAAATTATCAAAAGATGATGTTTTGGAGGGAAAAAAATTTATTTCAAAAAAAATCTAAATTTATTTCAAGAACTTTTTGTTTTTTTATATATATTTCAAAACATCGATAATTTGAAAAAAAGCTTATTAAATTTTTTGTATTAATATGTCTGTGTTATATTCCCACCATTCAAAGTAAAAACCATGAATTGTTAGTATGAAATAAATTTATTTTTTCTATTATTTAGATTTTTTGATAAAAAAATATTTTTATTATGATAATAATTTTTTTATATTTTTTATTTTGAAATTTATATTTTAAATCTTTGGAATAAAAAACAAATTCATTAATCCACTAAAATTTTTGTAAATATTTTTATTTCAATTTTTTAATAATTGAAAAATAAATATTATATAAGAAAAATTTATATAACTATTATTTAAGTTTAAACTTTTGAAATAAGTTTTTTGTAAAAGTTTTTTTTATATTTTGAGTTATTTAAAATAATTTCAAAGTTTTTTATGCCAAAATATTAAAATACAAATTATTATCAAAAAATAGAAATTTTTTCTTATCAAAAAAATTATATGAATTTTAAGTAATAAAACTGTGGATAATTGAAATTTAGTAAAGAAGTTGTATTTTTTTCAATTTAATATTTTTATTTAATTAACCAATAAAAAATTTAGCTCTATAAATTATTCATGTTATTATATGTGAAAAAAAGTTGAAATTAAAAAAAAAAAAAAACTAATTTGGAATTTTTATCTTATGACTTTCACAAAAAAACAGGCTTCATATGAACAAGAGAGGTTTCATATGAGCAAATACGTAATTGGGACGAAAGAGTGTTACCAAATGGTAAAATTGTTAGTCAAGTAATCCACTGTAACTACACGGTGTTGTGGATTTTAATGTTGGACAACTGCAAGTAGGGTTGGAGGCTCAACAAAATTTTTGCAGGCATGACCATGTACCCTTTCAAGATCAAAAGGCATGCTTGTATCACAATATGTACATTTGCAATATATACCCAGTATACATAAATCATAAATGCACGTACAATACGTAAATGTACTTATAATAACTAACTCTAACTAAAATGTAACTAATCCACAGTTAGTTATAGTTAGTGTATGTTGTACGATGCTCTCTAACTTATAGAGCATCGCACAATATACACAATATACTTTGAGATGATCTCCACATGTACTATCCCACTACATCAGATTATGAGTGCTAGACCACTACATCATAGATGTCTCCACATGCACTATACCATTACACCAGATTTTGAGTGCTGTTTTGAATCGATTTCTGTGGCTTATTGCACTTCAAACACACAAGTTCACCTGAACGAAGAATCTGTCTCAGTACATTACTCAAGGAGAATGTAATCTACATCTCAATGACAAGTTCAAAACAATGAAACTAGAAAATCACTTCGTGGATTGTGCAAACAAGTGTTAATTATAGATCATCTCATCTCATCTCATAGTATACACAATATAAGCGGACAACGTAAGCTCCAATGAGCACTCTATGGCGGGGACGACTATTATTGCTCTACACATAGTATCAAGATTACAAAAAATATATAGGGTTAAAGCAGATCATATAGAACTTTTAACTTACTAAAAAGCATTACTTATCAATGAACTGATGCGTCATTTGGAATACATTTGCCGTGCTGCCAAATAAATCCAGAATAATATTTCTAATACTCATACTAACAGTGTTATTTCTTTAATAGTTAAAACAAGCATGTCCCATCACCAAAAGAAAGAAAGTAAAAGTTGTGAATAATTCGCATAAGATTTTTTTTCACCTCCATCAATGATATAATTGGCAACAATTTTGTCTAGGATACATCAACATCAATGTTAACTTATAACAAAGCAAAAATGTTGGTCTTCTATTAAAATCTTAATTTTATTCAGCGAGCAATAAACTATCATGAGACAACCGTCGTATTAAAAAATCTAACGCTTGTTCATCATACTTCAAATAGCTAGCTATACATTCTATACAAGTTTTTGACATGAGGTCAAACTAAGACAGCAGCGGCATGAACCGTGTCCAGTCTAAGTCAACATGTTGATTACCTGGGGATGGACTTGATTGCGGTCATAACTAGCTTTATGCACCTGCACAGAAATAAAAAGACGATGTTGACGTGACAATGTCATACTTCTGAGTCCAAAACTTCCAACATAGCTCATGGTAAGAAATGAATCTTGTCATATTCTTAATAGTTGCAGAAAATTTGGCAATCAAAAAATTGTACATAGTCATGAACTAATAAATACACAGTTCTAAACTAAATAAAACCATATGATCACTTCATAAATCAAAAGTGCAGAAGGTGTCAATTATAGACCATCTCAAATATACTCATCTCATTGTATACAGTCCCGAACAACACAGCTTATAGTAAAAAATGTATCTTGTCATATTCTCAATTCCTGCAAAAGTTTTGACAATTAAAAAGTAATACACAATCTCAAACTAAATAAAACCAAAAATCACTTCATAAATCAAAAGTGCAAGAAGGTGTCAATTATAGACCATCAAAGATGTAGTCATCTCATAGTATACAGTTCCAAACAACACAGCTCACAGTAAGAAATGTATCTTGTCATATTCTCAACACTTGCAAAAGTTTTGGCAATCAAGAAATAATACAAAGTCTTGAATGAAATAAAATCAGAAAATCACTTCATAAATCAAAAGTGCAAGAAGGTGTCAATTATAGACCATCAAAGATATAGTCATTTCACAGTATACCGTCTCAAACAACACAGCTCAGAGTAAAAAATGTATCTTATCATATTCTCAACACTTGCATAAATTTTGACAATCTAAAAATAATACAAAGTCTTGAATTAAATGAAATCAGAAAATCAATTCATAAATGAAAAGTGCAAGAAGATGTCAATTATAGACCATCAAAGATATAGTCATCTCACAATATACAGTCTTGGACAACACAGCATATAGTAAAAATTGGATCTTGTCAATATCTCAACACCTGTAAAAGTTTTGAAAATCAAAAAACAATATGCAATCTCGAACTAAATACAACCAGTAAATCACTTCATAAATTAAAATGTGCAAATATGTGTCAATTATAGACCATTTCCAAACAACACAAATCATTGTAAGAAATGAATCTTGTCATATTCTCAACACCTCCACAAGTTTTGGTAATCAAAAAATAATATGCAGTTCCAAACTAAATAAAACCAAAAAATCACTTCATAAAGCAAAAGTGCAAACAAGTATCAATTTTAGCCATCTCATATATAGTCATCTCATATTATACAGTTCCGAATTAGACAGACAATGAAATCAAGCAACCACTAAGTAGATTGCAAGGGCAAACATGTGTGAATTATAGAGCATTTCATTGTATAGAGTTCAAATGTGACTTTTGACATGAAGATATAAAACAAAAAATACCAATATAACAAATCATCTACAGTCTAATCTTCTTCATATGTTATTTTTATCTCTTTTTCCACTACAGCCATGATGACATTTGGAGATGACTCTAGTTTGTATTTGACAAAGTCAAATACATATCAAATTCTCCCTGAAAATCATCATTATCGTCCAAAGTAAGCTTTAGATATTCCAAAGACAATTGATCCGCGGCCTCATAGAAAAATCTTCATCGTCTGTGCTATGCGGAAGTAACTGCTTTAATCCAATGCCAATCATCCAGATGACGTTGTAGAGGATTTTGAATGCTTCTTAAGATTGGATCTGACGATGGAAAGCATTTCCATGCATTCCATCGTCATTTTTTTCCTTGAAAATTACATGTGCAAAAACAATCTTTCCATTGCGGCATTATGAGAAGTGATGGAAAAAGTTTCATTGCAAACACACGCAAAGTCTTTGCATCAATAACAGACAGCCAAACATCCGTCGCGGAGTTCTTGTTTGAATTGTTGTTGAGTACTCCACTCTGCTTGATGAAATAATTTAATTCTACTAGCAATGAGATAGTTTTCATCTTGGTGAACTTCCATCCGTTTGCAAGATTTGCAATATTTTTTCAAATGTCATTGTAGGTTTTCTTCCTAGAGATGGCATCGGATTGATACTTAGGATTCAAAAAAAGAACTACAAAATAGATTGGATGATCAAATTCAGAAGCTTTCTTTCTAATAGTTTTGATATTGTGGATCTTGAAGCTGCTGCAATTTTTTGTAATGTCCACGACCTTCACAATTGTGTAGATATAGATCAGCTCAGGAAATACTTGATCTAATGTTGTGGAACTTTGCTCAAGACGAGCTATACTATCGACGATTGATTTGATGAGCTTGCATATCTACTTGTTGATTGCAAAGTGATAATCGTCATCCACCAAATTGGAGATATCTTTATTGATCGACGGTTTGTTGGCTAGTCTTGATTTGTTCACGCAATGTTGAAAATCTTTGTGATATGATGCAACACCAATACATACAAACATTGCTGAATAATATCGTGTTTCATAAAAATTTGATAAGAACTTTGGAATATTGTTTTTTTGATTCCATGTCTTGAGCTTTATCGTTTAATAATGAGAACTTGTAAGAAATGGATCAGCGTGCAATTCTTCTTGAAGACCTGCTTCATAGTGCACTGAGCTAACACATCCTTCGTTATCAAATTAAGCCGATGAAGACAACAACGCAAAGGAATAATGTTTTGATGCAAATTGGTCAAATTGCTTTTCAATCTGATCATCATATCTGGATTATCAAATACAAGTACAATGATTGTTGTCTAATAAAGAAGACTTTTGTTAGTTGACAATATGAATTATTGTAGCAATGCACTTGATGTCGGCTTACTTGAAAAGTGTACTATGTACAAGATCCATTCTTTAGTGCCGGTGATAGCTTCCCTTCGAACATGAAGGGTTGAATAAATTAACCATCCCTTGTACCTAGAAGTTGCATGGGTGAAGTTCATATTCCAATGCCAGTTCCACAACAACCATCCTCCAAGAAACATCAAGGTTGAGTTCTAATACAAAATCATCAGTACTTCCACATTTCAAATGTTGTCGAACAGTATTATGAATTATTTGTGACTTCATGCTACTGGCTACAACAAGGTGAATGAAGATTGGTCAATAGTATACATACGAGATAAAGAGTATTCAAGTTCTTGTTGCGGTTGACTTGATCAATTTGTTTTCCGCCCAAGTCTGTAAGGCAATCAATATAAATAACTTAATCTAGATAATGAATCCAATTTTAAGAATGATATTTTTTTTCAAAAGGTCTAAACAACTGCAAATTACTAACAAGTTTTAAATATAGCTACCATGTGACCAAACATTGAAAGATGAGAACACATTCTACTAAAGTTTTCATGCCTTCTCTCGTAGGATGTGACTCCTAAAATATTCAGAATAGACGTGAACATAGATAATCATTGTACAAACAAGTCATTGAAAAGATTCATCTTCTTATTCATGCTTGGATTAAAAAGTCTCAAGAGAGTACATCAAAATACTTTCAGCAGTCATATGAAACTTTCCACAATACATAGAATGTATTCCACCAATAAGAAATGCACATAGAAGAACTTAGTGTAAGAAATTATAAACCATGTACATTTGATGAGCACAAAAACAGCTTATCTCAGATGCTACAGGATGATTAGAGTTTGAAATTCTTCGTTTACCTTCTATTAAATGTCATTAGTTTCAACTGTGAAAGTGCAACCTAGATTCCCTTCCATCAAGGAACATTGTACACTCCTCTACCAGCATTATCAACGCTCTTTGATGAGTTACTTCTTCCTTATACTTCTAATGTGTGACGATGGAGAGAACAGAGATTGGCAAGTCAAGTAATATTGCCATATCTTGAGCATGTCTTAAGGTCCCAGGTTAGCTTTGTTTTGTGAAGAAGTGTATGTTGTATGTGCATACATGCGCGTGAATAGATTATGGGTTACCAAATTCAATTTATCACTCAACTTTCTCCACAGCACTGTCTATCTAATATTATTAAAAACTTGAGTTGTCACTTTCTTGGAATGAAATACAAATATAGATTGGAATAGAAGATATGATGAGAGTTAGAAATCACCAGCGCTAAGAAATTTGTCATGGTAGTTGAATCAACCATATAAAAGAGTTTCTATGGTCATACTCTCAAATTTTGTATATTTCTAGATATTTCAGATACCAAAGAAAAAGAATCTAAGTTAAAGGCAAGTGTATGTTTGTGAAAGAACTATTTTTATCTGAACTCAAGAATTAAATTTGCATCCAGAAATCTATCACAAGATCTCACACAATTTTGTTCGATGAATCTCGTTTCAAAATCTTGTTAAAGATGATGTCAATGGGGAAGAGATATCCAAACAGCAATCAATTTTGAATATTTCTTCATTTATTCTATTATCTATAACTATAGAAGATTCTTCTATTCCAGAGTTATGTATATATATTTATAAATCGTAAATGTAACTCACATGCCCGTGCCCCGGGGACATGCTTCAGGTTGTGCCTCCAACCCTAGCGGTGAGGAGTGTTTGTCTTCTTCAATGACTTCCACGAGTACAACGTATGCCTTCAGCACTAGGGGCTCGAATCGATGACGCTAGTCCGGCAATGGCTTCGGAACCATCATGAGGATAGTACCAGGTTGCCGCTTGTCGACATCGCCGAGTTTGTCGACAAGTCGATCCAGTCCGCGAGCGCCCAGTGTTGGGTTCGGCACGAGGCCTCTGGTGCCCCCATTGGAGTTCCGACTCATCACGCAGGGCGTTTCTCGGGCTCGATCCTTTCCCATGAGCGTCACGTCAATTCTAGCCTTGCCTTGCCGACTGGTGGTTGTTCTACTACGCGCTCATTTGCGGAGATTTCTTGGCCTCATTGAGAGGAAACAGGCCTGAGCCCTAGCGACTAATGGTACGAGGTAGGCACCAGACAGCTCCCCTTCCCTAGTCTAAAAAACGCCTCGATATCAGACGCACTCCTCTTCTCTTCCCTCCTTCAACATCGGCAACTTGTGCATTGCAAATTGCCGAATCAAAAGTAGAAAGAGAATCGTCTCTTGTCAAGTGGAGTATATTTCTAATAACAATAGTAAATAAATTTCAATCTCCTTCCTTTTGTTCGTTTCAATGATTGAAGGCTGACGTTTGTCAAACGGTAGGTGATAGCTTGCTTCATCTGTTTAAAAAATCTTCCACAAATTCATGGTGGCCTTGCTTCCGATGTTTCTAGGATGTTGGGAAGATAGTGAATAATTTAATAAATTGGTGTTTGTTGTGATCACACGGTGGAATAGGAGATGAGCGACAACACTGCCGTTCTATTGGATAAGTCCCAAAAGAGCAGATCTAGAACTCAGTAGAGAGCAAGACTTTGTCATTTTCCCTTGATGTTGGATGCATAAGAGCATACTAAACAACACATTTATGACTGCAGAAGAATATTAGGTCCGTTAAGAGCGAATCAAAGTCCTGCACCGAACCGGCCTACTCTACAAGACAGTTGCGACAAACTTCTTGCTATTTGAGTTCATGCATAATTTCATCATGATGACGCGCTGTACATCCTAACCACTGGTTTATACTAGTGAGAACACCGACTCCACTTTCCGAATATAATTTACTTGTTTCCCATATGTGTCATCTTTCTCTATTTTCATGTAGATTGCTTCCTCAGCTGCATATCCATTAGTCACTTGCTCATATAACATCCCTAGAGTGTTTGAGCAATCGCATACTCCAAGTTTTTCGGATCTTTCAAGGAACCTTCCGTAAGGTTCATTTGTTCCTACTATAATTTTGCGACCCAAAGAAGCCAAGATTTGAAAGGGATGTCGCATTCTAGAATGTAGTACAAACACAATCAGATTGAAATATGGAATGCCGAGATTAGAGTAGTCGGAATGGGGATGACCTCCTCGAATGTGTTATCTGTGTTTCCTCGAAAAATTGGACGGAATCCTGAATTTTACAATTTTTTTCTTCCAACATAATCAAGTGAAGAAAATCACTTTTCTCAAGTTTTCCGAGTGAGGTCAAGTAACTGCCATGTCGTTGGAAATTTTTTGGAATCATAAAGATTTGAATGAATCTTAGTTTTCAAATAAGTTCTTACAATCTTCAGAAATTTCGAGGCTGGATTCCAACTTTGGGCCACATTATCTGTGATGTGTCTGTTTCCTTTGACCTTTTTCAAACCAAAGACTTTTAGCACATTTTCAGTAGCTCTACACATAATTTTGGATATCTCGTGTTCCATTTCTAGGCTGATTGTTGTTATCACTATGGAGTTTCATAACACTCCCGGCACGCTCTATGGCATCCCCGTCATAGAGTCTTACTGCTTACACTGCAACATTTTCTAAAATTTATAAAATTACCTCCCAAGTCTTCGGGCAAGTTACCATTATCGTATATTGTTGTTCTCTAGGATTTGGGAAATTTGAAGAGTTATCGTTTTTCTCGTTTCACCCTCAAATAATTTAGGGACCTAAAGAGATTTTTCATGATCACTGTTGTAGTTTTTCTCGTAGAAGATATCATTCACCAAGTGACATATTTGATCCATAACATATTCATTTAAGATATATCCATAATTTTTATATGCACAGATCGTATATTACTTCAGCTTCATCTTTGATCGGCTTCAGCTGTGATCGATTCCAACTGACCGATATCTTTAATTAATCAAAACATGTGTGTAATATATCACGTGTAATGAGACAGATACAGACCGCCTAGAACCGGATGGTTACTTAAAAGCAGTTGCAGGCAAGTCTCTTGAGATTTCCTGGGAGGCACAGTGACGGAGCTTCGTATCGTCACGGTTTCTAGAAGAAACGAGAACAAAGATGACTGAAAACTTATTGTGGGCCTATTTCTGAAAATGTCTGAATGCTTCTAATCTTTCTAATGCATTGCTCGACTCACGAATTCGTTTTCGCTCCTGGAAATTTCCAGATCGCTAAAAGTGCATAGCATCACAGGATCCTTGAAACCCGAAGTCACAGATCAAAGACGTGATTGGACTTAGAAGGTATGAAAAACTCACACGAGAATGAAGACCGTCACAGTTACACAGCAAGTACAGTACAGTAGATAGAATCGAAGACAAGCCCGGACATCCGATACAAACAACGGTGGAAACGTCATGAGGTACGAAGAGAATAACTACCAACGATTGCGAGCAAGGAGGCAGGAAAGATCCCAAGGGCAGGGGGGAGAATTGCCCCTACAAGTAGGTGGGGGAGAGCTTCAGTACAATGTACGTGCATGTCCTCTTTCGTTCGCAAAACTCGAGAGAAGCAAAACTTGCTCGACCTCAAATTGTTCGTAACACTAACAAGGCATGCATGCAGTCGCTTTAGCTGATTCGCCGACCAAAGTCTTGATGTGGTGCTTTCACGAGGATGCGGCGTTGATGAAACCAGAGATTATTACATATGCTGTCCTCGAAGGTGCTAGATCCTTCGAGTCGAATAGCAAGTGGCGTTGAAACGCATTCAGAAGCCCAAACTCCACGTCGAAATTTGGTGTTGCCACAAGCTCTTTTTTGGCTATGGTCGCTCGTCGGCCACCGGTAGTTGACTTGCGATCCTTTCTTACACCGGATTGAGCTGAGAGACCGCACGTCCCTGTGGGAAGTGTAGACAGGGTTCTGGAGAAAAGTGCAGACACTGTTGGAAGTCCTCTCAGAAGTGTATCACATTGTCTACGTCACCACCACCACTGCTTACCGAACACTGTGTGGAGTTGGTGGCAACTATGGCCACCGCTTATTCGCCCCGTTAGGCACAGGTTCTCGTAGCAATTATCATAATACTATACGAAGGTACGTGCGCACCTCCAGCAACTGCTGAGGACTCAGGACACACCAGGAAGCTCTCTCTCAACCTAATCAGAAGTCAGACATGACTCGGTATGCCCCTCTGAGTTGAAGGCGTGAGTGGACGAATAAACCGCAAAGCATGTGCTGACCTAATAACAGATCAGTTACCGGATTGAACTTTGGGTGCGCTGACATTCACCTTGCTGGGCTTATAGTTTGACCTGAAGATTCTGGCGGCTGGTAGAAGTACAGGCGTATACAGGGTTTCTTCTACCTGTATGACAAACCTGAAGAGAGAATGTATCTCTGCTAACAGATTTCACCTCGAAGAATTCCGGTCCGTGATCTAAAATATTGAGTTCGGCACGGTAATCCGGGTCACGATAGACACTGAAAAACTGTAGTCCCTTCATCACGCCCTTCCGTCACGTCACGGTGGCAACATTGGCGGTTGCTTCCATACCTTTGAAAGATGATTGTAGATTTTGCAGACTAAGTCATTTTGCCCAGTTCTGAGTTGGGACAGAATGACAGTCATGTATAATCCCGGAGCAACAGACAATAAGCACATGCAGACGGCCACGTGCATCGAACACACTAGAATTCATTTTCTTCTCTTCCCTTTGTTTGTTTCTCGGTTCTGTTGGGTACTCTTGATATTGACAATGCCACACAACGAAAACATTATGATCCATGCGGTCTTCACGTAGTAAGGCAAGCGGGAAATAGAATTACATGTTGATTTGTTCTGAGACGGAAAGCATATTTGACGGACGTGTCTATATGTGCAACCATGAAATAAAAGGATCCTACTCAACGATCCACGAACGCGAGATATACAACTGAAGTTCCTTGTAGAGTGATGACCGTTCAAAGCGTAAAACCTAGAATATCCTTTTGGCCAATATACATCCTAAACAGCGAGCAATGCTTCGAACCTCCGGAAAAAAATTTGTTCAAAATTCTAAACCTACACACTTCTAGCAACCAGAGATGGAAGAAGTGAACCCCAGACTCTTGTAATTTTTTTCTTGGACGATACTGCGAGAAGACAGTAGGGTACGGCTATACACCCGTCCGTAACATATTTGATCGACATGCATTCAGGGTAAGCTCATCATAAGTGCCAAAGAATTTCTAGCAGAGCAGTGACAAAGTGAAGGAGGAAAAGTAGGTGAGAGGGTCCACTTTATCACCTTCATTTACAAATGATCTGTCATGAACCCACATAATGGTTTCCTCTACAGCATCCAGGATGACTTCCTAGTATATACTTCTGAAGACATGCTGGGTTTAGATCACAATTCATGATATAAAATTACAGCAAAATGTTGACGGAAAGATTGTAAGGCCTGCCGATCGTCTCGTGTGAAGTCAATGTATGGTGATGAGATTTGTGTAAAATGGTTTGTCTCCTCCCGCTAGTAGAAGCATAATCAAATGCAGCTACAAGGGAATCAATCCGGGAAAATAATTTTTCAACATGTACAGTTACCAGCTCCAGGGGCAGATTGCGGAGTGTAAGGTTCATCGGGTCTCAGGAGATTCTTCTTGAATGCTTTCGTATCTGCTATCAAACTCGGCGTGTCGAGTATCTGCGTGAAATACAAGCAAAGTATTAATATAACTTGTAGCACTGACATAGTGATAAAGTGATACTTTACTACAGTGTAGGTTGAGGGTTGTAAAATCAACCTAGAAAATGTACAAAGATCGGACTCGATGGACTTTTTGAGTTGTTCCATGGACATTCATGAGCAAGTATATGAACTTTGAGAGGAGAAGTCCACGAAGAGATATAAAACAGCGACAGCGTCGTACGTAAGGAAAGAAGAAAAAGTCTTCTGATCTACTATTCAGATTGTTCCACGGAAATCTAAGTTAGTGCTCCTCCGCTAAGGTTTTGACCGACTAAGCTCCCCAGGTGTTCTCAAAATGTCAAAGGTACTGCTGGAATAGAGTTATCAATGAAAGAAATGAAAATTGTTCGAATGGCAATGGAAGCCCAACTGCCCACAAGCACCAATCTTGCGAGATCAAATAAACAGAAATAAGAGGGAAGTCAAAAGGAGAACTATAAACAAGACTCTCAACCTACGATCTAGATAAATGAACTAAGTCGGTGACCTTGAAACGGATGTATACAGAGAATGCGAAAGTCATGAAACACCTTCTCCAAATATCATCAAACATATCCAATGTGTTGAACAATTGCAGTTCTACTAAAAGAAATGGGGAAAAAAAAGACAAACCTTCTGAACAAGTTCTTCAAAGCATAGTTGCACGTTGGCTCGAGTCTTCGCACTGCACTCTAAAAACAAACATCCATACTGACGAGCAAACGCTATTCCCTCTTGTTTAGAAACCACGCGTTCGGCATCCTGAAATGCAAGCAGGGCAATAACTGTCACATGTGGAAACCTTGAAACCTTGCTGTCTGTAAACCTGGAGAAAGCAAAACTGCTTCGCCTTCGAAAGATTGAAACCAAACTGATTAAATTGGCTGGATAGAACGACATACCCTATCCACTTTGTTGCCGACAAGCATCTTTATACAGTCTGGATTCGTTGAATAGAGCTCGACCTCTTTCAGCCAGACATCAGACAAATCTGTGAATGTGTCGCGCCTAGTGACATCATAAACTGCGAGACCACACAACACAACGTGCGCGAGTTCTCTGACATAGTAAATAAGGTCTCTTATTCGTCATGTTCAGGAACAAAATTTACCAGTACTCTACGGCTAATCCTTCGGAAGCAACCATAAACATGGATAGACCATCATCAACTTGATTCTTTCCAAAAGACATAAAAAGCTGAAAGAAATATGATAGTCTTGAAAAGAAATCGAATTTAAAGATTCACCAGGTTTGAAACAAAAAAACTTTACTCACCTAGAATGACACCCTGTGCGCTCCTGTAATACGAGCTGGTGAGAGTCCGGAATCGCTCCTGTCCAGCTGTGAGCAACATAACAAACTTTCTTAATACTGTAAATCATGGAAAACTCTCAGAGCACAAAGATCGATGTTGAACGTGCCACACAGCGCACACATAAACCGTATGATAACATTAATTACATACAATAAAAAATCACAATCGAGATAAAAGAGATTCAAATCTGGTGATTCTCTACACTGGCGGTAGGTCTTCACACAATATTATGACAGTCCTTATGAGCGCAACATGTATAGACTCGGTTTCAAGATACTCCACAACCATTAAAATAAACATGGATATACTATCCAACGAGTTTAGAAGTTTCCTCGGATCAGTGCCTCTTTCATCATTACAATCCTAACCAAAAGTATGTACTGCACCAAGCCATAAAGATTCACTCGGAAAAAAATTCCCACGTTCATATTGCACACCTGTGTCCCAGATCGTCAGTTTCAGTCTCTTCCCACTCATAGTCAGCAACTTGAGCTTGAAATCAACGCCTGCATGTGAACCAAATGCAGGTGATTCAGGTTATTGTGAGGTTGGAACGAACTCAGTCTTAAAACCCGGTTTGTAAAGAGAAGAGTCACAACCAGTAAACCTCGAAACTTAAAAAAGACGTTCAGTATCAACGATCGACGCTGGCCTTCAGTACCAAGCGAGTTCCTGGGAACAGAGAGCATTCATACTGGAACACAAATACTTCTCTAAACAGAGAAATCGAAGGAGCAATTCCATTGCAGACACTGTAATCGCAAAAGCGTAAAGAGGCCTCACCGATGGTAGGCGAAAGATCATCAAATGTGTCCGCAGTAAACCTCAAGAGTAAACTGCTCTTTCCGACTCCAGAATCTCCGATCAACAGCAACTTGAAAATATGATCAATTTCCGCACCACTGCCCCCGGCCATCACGCCCGACTTCGAATTGACAACCTAGGCTTCGCAACCCATAAAAGCCCTGCTCTTCCGTGAAATTGCGCACGGCTCCGCATTCGTCTGTCACTCTGTTTCTTGCTCGCGAACTCTGTAAGGGACTCGCTTGCAACGGACACCCAGAAATTGGTGCACCTGCTCCACTGCTCCTCCTCCTGCTGCTGGCAATGAAGCCAAATTCTCGAGGGAATCACACATGTGTTCGAAAGGCAGCGGCTGCCAGTATGATTCCAGTCCGTCTCCGGTCGCGGGCGAAGAAACTATCAGATTTCTGCATTATACAATGAATATCATCAAGAACCACGAGTTTGACGGTAGTTTTACCGGAAACTTCCGGTGGAAAGTAGTCCGAGTGGAATCGTGAAAGGGCGACCGGCAGGTGTCCAGGATCTGGCTCCTTCCGATCGAAGGCCTGTTGCTTTTGCTGTGGCCAACAACGTGTCGCTCGACGAGTCCGGGAGCCTGCAGCTGGCTAGGCTTTCTGCCATGACACCAACACAGTGAGACAGTCGGCGTACTGCAGACGTTACCACGGTGATAAAAATTTACTCAGTAGGTTCATCACAGGGCTGTGGTGTCGACCCAGTAGCACTCGCAGCTCGGTAGACTGCAGTGGTCGTCGTAAGCGAGTACGTAGATACAGTTGGCTCGCCCTCGTTGGCTCGCCCCTCGGTCAATTTTCTCGTCTTGAGTCTGCACTTTCCGCAAGTCGGGCTTTAAGTGGAGAAACGCGTAGAGAGTCCAAGTCCGCACCTCTGGTTGTAATAATTCAATATTTCCAGCTTTGATTCATTGTATATCCTACGTTCGGTCAGATTGATGGATCGTACGCCCTATCCCATTTCACGGAAAAATGCCAATACGATATGATCATACCCTTGGCTTGAATCCCAGTGCAAAATAATCGTGTCGTTGTGATGAATGGTCAAAACATATAGTGTACATTAAAGTAAAATATTTTGCATTGTGATGCTATTGGAACATAGCCCCATCTTACCCCGATGGATTAGTGCCTGAACCACTTGATATGGGTCTTCCATCCTTTATGCTATATTACCTAGTGTCCCTCATGAAGGTTAGTACAAATAATTAGTTCTTTAAAATTTCAGAAAGGCATGCAAAAAGGCTGACGCGCTCAATTTGAACTAAGAGAACACAACAGGCAGTTGGTTCTGCTATTTGAATTTATTTATTTATTTCTTAAAAGAACTGGACTTTATTAAGAGGTGGACGATTTGCAGACTTTCCGTATATTGTAGAATCTCTGCACCATGGCGTCATACCCATAGAACGAAACACACAGTATTCCTAGATCATCGGACATATTATTGATTCAAATAGCTCGTTATTACTGTCTTCTCGTGCCTGAAAATAAATAGCTGCCATAATTGAATCTTACATTAGATTGTCAACAGGAGGCCAAAAAGAAAATGATTCCTTGTTTTAGTAATTTAATAGATATGCTTGAATGATCTAAACAATTCGATCCAATGAGTGATACTAACTTGGATCTACAGTACAGAGAGTCAGCTCAGTTTTTCACATCCACGTGAAAGAACCACAGCCAAAGAAATCAGTTCACACAATCATTTGCCCGTATATCTACATTTTTAGGATGTGAGAAACGACTTACTTTTTTAAAGTATCTGAGCTCAAATTTAAAAACATATGGAATTAAAGATTAGACAGTGAAGCACAGTGGATACTTCACAGAAGCAGATATAAAATTTTGCACAAATTCAAAAAGAAGAGATAATGGAATTGGAAAATGACTGCGATGAGAAAGCCTCCTCCATAAATATATAATATTCATGTCTTCTTTGACGACTTTGGAAAAATAATGTATCATATCTTGCAAAGTGAGATGCATCAGTAGGTTGTCACATGAGGCATTCAGATTAGATTCATCGGAAAGACCGGATGATACAAAATAAAATGTTGCAACAGAAAATCCCACACAGCCAATCGAGGTCATTAAGACCTCGGAGCGTATGCTAGAGGCCTACAACCTGCGTGGACCTAAGACCACAAATATTGCCCGGCGGAATTACCACACGGAATACATCGCGATTGACTGAACCGTTGCCGGGTTTAACCTGGAGGTTTCTACGTGTTTCTTTATACCAGACACAAGGGGAAATGTGCATACGATGTGTCAATTACGTGGCATGCGAGACGATTTGCAAGATTCTTGAGGAAACACGTAAGATACTCTGCAGATAAAAGGAGTTTAGATAATGTCTGCAATACGCGTCGGCTCGCATACTCAGTTACTAGAACGGCCTGCAATAGGAGAACATTTCAAGGCCATTCGAGTGTGTTTTACTTTAAAAGGCAATAAAACTGGTCGGTCCAGTGCAGATGAATTGTTCCGAGGTACATAGGCAAGAATCGGCGGGTTCCCTGCAGATCCGATGGTCTTCGAGCAAAACCTCCAGGAATCCCGGCCTTATTTTGCGTGGAATTTAGGACGATTCTCCGCAACCTTGGACCTGCAGGAGCAGAAACCGCGAAGGATGTTCGGTGCCATCTCCGGTCAGGAGAACGGATGACTGCTGAATATTCCCATCCTCCAATTTGTAAATCCACAAAATCGCCTTATATCCAGGGAATAATGGGATTGTAGAATTTTGGCAACCGACTTTTGGCATTGAATCAAACAAACATTCACTTTTTCCGCTCAAGGCAAGTTTCTATGGAAAAATGAAATACGAGGTAACTGCATGGAATTTCTGCTGCGGCGATGTTCCAGAATTAAATTCTCGTATGTAACATGAAATGATCACATAGTTCGCTGTGCGGTCACGAGGAGACCGCACACAATCCTCTTCAGGAGTAATGAATTTCTGTCAAGACCAATTTGGCCGCTTGAGTATAGGCGGTGGGGTACAAGTACAGGTTCGGGCGTGTGGTACGTAATAATATGACATGTTATATGAGAGTATTCGTTATGAAATAGAAAAAATAATATACCTGTCATGTGCAGAGGAAGTCAGCGATTTAACGAAACCATTCAAACTTCTCGGACCACAAATGGCGAGCGAAGGATTTCAGAGAGTGCGCAGGAGGAGGTACGTGGAAAAATCTTAAGGATGGGACGAGGAATGACCGAGTTCCTGTAACGAGGTGAGTCTAGAGAATGCGGTGGGGCCTAGGGCTAGGGAGTACGATAGTAGGGATTAGGGGGAAAAGTCAAGCATAACCCCGTGGGCCTAATAATTTTACTAATCCCAACTACTTCCCAAATTTGACCATACCTTTTATCCGGAATCGGGTAAATCAAACCCTAATTGACGGGGTGAGGCCGGGCGGGCCCGCGATCGGACCGTACCGACCCGGGCAGCCGGTGCTCCCGCACCCTGCATGGAGGTGCGCAGCGCGGGTGGCCGCGGTGCAATGCGCAGCCGCTCTCGGCGCGTACAAGCTCGCGCACCCGCGATGCGGAGCTGCTCTCTGTGCATGGATTGTTCGTTGTGTCTCAGCGCGGGTGAGGAGCGCAGACAGAGGGAGGAGGCGAGAGAAAGAGAGCGAGGGGTGAGGGAAAGGGAGGGGATTAGGGGGAGGGGAGGTGAGGTGGGGTGAGGGGAGAGGAGAGGAGAGCGAGAGGAGGAGGAGGAGGAGCAGCAGCAGCAGCTGCAGGGAGCAGCAGCAGCAGCATCTACCTAGGCAAGGAAGGAAGGGCGAGAGAGCAGGGGGCATGAGGAGTTTTATCGGAGACCTCATGGAGCGAGAGTTTGTTGAACGCAAACACAAGTGTGAGCTTGCTCTCCCTTGGTGCTGCCTGCGAGAGAGAGGATAAAATTGGACAGGGATGAGCGAGAGGCAGCGAAGTCTTTCGGACTCGGACTGAAGAGGAGGAGGAGGAGGAGGAGGAGGACCGAGTACGAGGACGAGTAGAGAGGAGGGAGGAGGAGGGCAGGGAAGGAAGGAAGGAAGGAAGGAAGAGGACGGACGGAAGGAAGGAAGTGGAAGTAGTGGCAGCGGGCGAGGGGTTGGGTGCTGCCCAGAGCGGCGTCTTGAGGGAAGGGGAGATCTCTCATGGCGAGCAACCCCTCCGCTGCAGTAGCGCGGAGGGGTGGACATTCTTTCGAAGGCGGAGGAGGAGCGAGGGCGCAGCCGGTGGATCGTTCGCGGATTACTGAAGAAGATGACGATGAGGATGAACAACCCTTGTGCATAATTAGGTCCGTTAGGCGAGGGGAGGGCGGTGGTGCTGCATCCGCGACAGCAGGTAGTAGGGGATTAAGCAGTTCGGGAACTAGCAATGGTGTGAAGAGTGGAGGGGGCCGAGTAGAGTCAGGGACGACTGGCAGAAAGGAAGAAGCAGATAACGGGGCGGAGAAGAAGCGAGTTTTAGCAGACGCGAGGCCCGGGTCGAGCACAGGGGTCGGTGGTAAACCTCTTATGAAAAAGGTGAAGGTGGACGCAGGAGGAGGTATGATTGAGGCCGCCAAGAAACGCGAGGCGGATCCAGACGACGAAGACGATGTTCCTCTCGTGCAGCGAATGAATAATGTGAAGAAGGTCGTGTCGCCCAATGCTCCCACGACCACCTCCACATTGTTGGCCGCCAAGAAGTACATGGACGCCCGGAAAAAGGCCAAGTCCGAGGGAGGCACGGGCACGCCGAATCAACCTGTCAGTAATGGAGCTTCGTCTGCTCTCGTGTCCAGCGCCACCCGCGCCACACCTCCCAAGGAAAGCCATGATAGGATCGTCTCGCAAGGGTCCGGAAGTAAGGATGATAAACCGTTAGAACGCAGGCCAGTGGCGGCCAGGCCTCCAGCGAGGTCCTCCGTGGGCAATTCGGTTCCAGAATCCGATGATTCGGACGATGACAAGCCGTTGAGCCACAGGAAATCTTTGAATGCCGTCAGCAGAGACCCGAAAACCGTTATGAAGGATGTGAAAGACAGTGGTGCGAAGAAGAGACCCGCAGTTCAGAGCCCTCCCTCTTCTGATCGTACTGTAGTGAAGAAGCCGAAGGTCGAGCCCAGTGCACCATCTTCGAAACCCGGTGCCATTCAATCGCCCAAATCGGGTTCTTTGCAATCTCCCAAATCCATGGTTAAGAAGGAGGCCAATTCATCTCAGAAACCGGCCCCTAAGCGAATTCCTGACGATGATGACGACGACGATGTTCCATTGGCCCAACGTATATCTTCCGTGTCCAGCAAATCTGCAGTGCCGAAGAAAGTCTCAGCGGCGACTGCGGACAGAGATCTGGACGATGAGGACGATGACGACGTCCCTCTTGCGCAAAGAATAGCCGCATCTACCACTGCTTCCAAATCAAAAGCACTTGCCGTGGTGAAGAAACCTTCATCTAGTACAGGAAAGTCCATTACGAAAAAGGTTTTGGACCAGCGGAGGAAAGGGAAGAAGACGACGAAAATCACGAAGACCTCTAAAAGCTCCAAGACTACGACGAAAAAGACCTCAGGCAAGCAACCAATTAGTGGTGGCACGGAGAAGTGGGAGACTTTAGAGCACAACGGAGTGATTTTCCCTCCGCCTTATCAACCTCATGGCGTGAAGATGTTGTATAAGGGCAAACCCGTCGACCTCACACCAGAGCAGGAGGAGGTTAGTTCAGTTATTCTATCCTCTTTGTGCTTTCAATTTCGCTGTGTGACAAGAACCCCTTTGCTAACAGGAATATTCTTGATGCACATCTCTTTCGGACTCGCCGCGCTTGCCGCGCTTGCGTTCCGTCTCATTCCGAGGACCATCAGTAGATGTGACATCAGATTCGTCACATGGAGTGGACAATGTTAATGTGAATCATCCTGTTGTCCACATCGGTGAATCTTCATCTCAGAAAAGCCATAGCGTAACTTGTAACGGTTCACAGAAATGTCAATTCTGACATCATGTTGCAATCTACGTCTGTTGTTGCAGATCGCGACCATGTTCGCTGTCATGAAGGACACAGAGTATGCAACCAAAGCAAAGTTTATTGAAAACTTTTGGAATGACTGGAAACCTGTACTTGGATCAAGACATGTCATTAAAGATTTCGAGGGATGCGATTTTACTCCTATTTACAATTGGCACATGGCTGAAAAGGAAAAGAAGAAGAGTATGACTGCAGAGGTAACACTGATGTGTCTATCTTATGTTGTCGTTAATTCTGATGACAATTTCTCACTGGTTTATGTTTGATTTTCAAAATCTATGGGATGTTTGTTAAGAGGGTTGTTCATCCACATGATTCATGACTCTGATCTGAATTTCAGGAGAAGAAGAGGGTGAGAGAAGAGAAGCTGAAAGTCGAAGAGAAGTACATGTGGGCGCTGGTGAACGGAGTGAAAGAGAAGGTACAGCTTATAGTCTTACCAAACCGGTTCACTAATCTTGTTTCCGTGATAGTCTATCGTTTGTTGACCCGTTGAGCTATAGTTGTGAAATAAGTCCTTCTATGTTTTGCTGCGACATACAGTCCTCAAATCTAAGTCGGTGCTTCTTGGCATGCGGTTATCTGGATTTGTCAACTGGAATTGACAACCAGAGTCATTGCTCAATGCTGAAATTTCTAGGTTAGAAATGGACATTTGTATTTTGAGTGTGGATGTTCACTTTTCTTGATTGCTTAGTAAAGGGTATGGATGACACTACAAGCAGACGAGTGGTACTTGCTTTACCTTTACATTTTAACTAAGGCTTTTTAATTGAGCACAGTGCTCACATGGTCACGAACAAACGTGTCGCTGTGGATTTGCAGGTGGGCAATTTTAGAGTTGAACCCCCTGGTCTATTTCGTGGACGCGGTGAACATCCGAAGGTATGCCCTTTGCCTTCACATTTTGATTTGCTCAAATGTTGCAAAATATCTGTACTATCCAGGTTTGAAGTTCAGATTTTTGTTTTAGTATTGGACTTGTTCAACATGCTCTGACTAGCTGTAAATAGAGTGATGTGTGATTACTCATTACACGTGTGGATTCTACCAGATGGGTAAATTGAAGACTAGAATCTTCCCGGAACATATTGTTATCAATATCGGCAAGAATGCGCCAGTTCCTGAATGCCCGATGGCTGGTCACAAGTAAGAAGAACCGTCTGCACTGTTACGATGAGCTTAGAACTGTTGTTTATTCTTAAGAAGGCCTGTGTTGAGAAGACATTTGTGAGAAGATTAGAATGCGGCGGAGTTGTTGTGAAATTGTGTTGTTAACTAGTCTGTAATGGTGTCAGATTGAACTGTCGATCTCATTATTGCTCTTGATGCTATTTCGAATATTGTGCCTAAGGGGCTGTATCATGTCAATTGTCTTTCAGGTGGAAGGAAGTTCGACACGACAACACAGTCACCTGGTTGGCGTTTTGGAATGATCCCATCAATAACAAAGAGTTCAAGTATGTCTTCCTTGCAGCCAGTAGTAGCTTAAAGGGACAAAGCGACATGGAGAAGTATGAGAAGGCCCGCATGTTGAAGGTAATTACCAGTGTTACCATCCATATGGATGGGTTAAACAAATTGTATTTTTGCCTCCGTGGTTGTTAGAACCTGTATTGTTGGTCATTTGTTATTCTTAATCTGTGCTTTTGGTACAGAGTTTATAGTGTCCCGACTAAACATGATTGAAGCTGTACTGATTATTCCTGATGGTTGGTTGTGTTTCAATTTTCTCAGAGTTACATTAATAATATTCGAAGCACGTACACCAAACAATTTTCTTCATCGGATATGGCAAAAAGGCAAATTGCTGTAGCAACATATCTCATTGATCGACTTGCCCTTCGTGCGGGAAATGAAAAGGTAATGGTGAACCTCTATCGGTTCTATTATCTTCCATGTGAGTGGCATACTCCTCCATATGGGTGTGTCTGCACAATTTTATTTCATCTTGTCAGTGAAACTCTCGGTAGATCAATTATCTGCATTTTGGTTTTCTTGATGGCAGGCCTGATTGCATATCTTTGTAGTATGTAGCTTTTCACCCTTTTTTTGTAAGTTTGTTTCAACTAACATTGGAATTTGATTGTGCTTGAAATGATCAGGACGAAGACGAGGCGGATACTGTCGGTTGTTGTTCTTTGAAAGTGGAACACGTTACGACTGTACCTCCCAAATCTTTGCAGGTACTGTTTCAAGAAAACATGCCAGATGTCCTGAACCCTTGGTAACAGTGCCGTGTAGGGTACACATACGTAACGGTTTGCATTATATGTACCATGCACGGAGAACTTGTAGTAGTTCTCGTTTGGTACTGTTTTAGAGACCTCACGATCATCGTCATGGGCAATTTTATTGTTGAGAGAAGAGCACTATATATGGTCTTCCTGTTCTTAGTATCTTACAAGTATTTTATTGACTTTGTAGATTTTGTACAGGGCTGGACTTTTTGGAAGTACAGTGTGTCAAGTGATTTATCTGTCATTGAATTGTAGATATCAAACGATTTATGAACAGGGTTGATTGGTTTCTGTACAAGCGAAGCTTATATAGCTCTTTGTTGGAACAGTTTGACTTTCTAGGTAAAGATTCTATCAGATATTTCAACACTGTGGAGGTAGACGAGCAAGTATTTAAGGCTATCAAGGATTTCAAGAAAGGTAATACACCTACTGTGTTGGCCTTGGAAAGTAATTGCACACCCTCGAGTTTTGACATGGATTTTCAACTCTTGGTTTGAAAGATAATCTCCGATATTGCCTTCGCTTCTTCATAAAGTGCTTCTTTTCGAATACAGAATGTGTCTCACAGTCAAGGGTCATATATCATCCTCTACGTATCCCTGTTTCAGTTTCAGACTCCTACGCAAATTCTATGGCAATACGATTTGGTCTCTTTGGTTCTTTGCCTTATCTATCTGGATTGCAGTGCAAGGAAGTAGACTTATCAGTCTCATACCTCCCAATGTTGTTTAAAGCTTTTTTGGTACTGAGTTGAAATTCTTTTCCTTGTTATTGGGTTGTAGGTAAATCACAAGGTCAAGACCTTTTTGACAAACTTGACACTACAAAGTTGAATTCTCATCTAAAAGACATCATGCCGGGTCTTACTGCGAAGGTCTTCCGTACATACAATGCGTCTATAACTTTGGATAATTTGGTAAGTATCTGTTGTGTTGCCTTTCTTAATCTCTCAATTCTGTATTATGTTGCTTGTGGGAGTTTTGACGCTTCCTTCTATATTATGGAACATCTGGTCTTACAATACTGATTTATCTGACAGCTGCAAGACACTGTCGGGAGTAATGTCATAGAAAAAACGGCCGATTATCAACGCGCTAATAAGGAGGTCAGTTCACCTCACAGTATCTTGCCATTTCCCTTCTGTACTGTGAAATATGAGTCAACCTTTGGTAATTCTCGCAGAATTGCAAAAATTTATCTGTCATTTCAAAAACTAGGCAGATGACAAGAGTATGAAGTACTTGGTCTGCCAACTTATACGGATGGAGATTCATTCCTAATTGAGTAACAGCCGTGTCGACGAACGGTGGAAACTTATTCAGGTCGATGTAAGCAACTGTCTTGAGTTTTGTATATACTCATCCATCAATTGGCCATCGTGAAATTTCAGGTCGCTATTTTGTGTAATCATCAACGGAGTGTATCAAAGTCACATTCCACTCAAATGGAAAAACTGGAGGCGAAGATGCAAGAAGCAAAAGTATGTCGATAATCGCACTTTGTTTTAAATTGCTTCGTAGCGAATATCTGGTTCTTTCATTCGAGGAAGAGTTCAAGGAAATTGAGTTGCGTTCAGCTCATATCAATTTCTCATCGTGAGTGACATTGTATGGCTGCTTTCAGGATCTCCTTGCCGATTTAAAGACCGATCTGGATAGGGTGCGGAAAGGGAGGCCGCCTTTGAAAGACGCGGATGGGAAGAAGAGAAACCAATCTCCTGAAACGTAAGAGACATCTACAACATCTTCGTTTTTTTCATTCAAGTGGATTCATCGATTATGGATGACGAATTGATAATGAAAGATCTTAGATGAGTGGTTGACAAATTAGAAGCTTTCGAGAACCTTCAAAATCTTCAAGAGCATGGGTGGAAAGTATTTTTTTGGGGTTGGTGTTCGACCCAGAAATTTGCATACGTATCTGAACTCTTGCCCGATTTGTCGTACAGTTTGCAGAAGAAGATAGCACAGACCGAACAAAGAATAGAAAAGATGGCTCTAGATATGAGTATCAAAGATGATATGAAAACAGTTGCGCTTGGAACGTCGAAGATCAACTACATGGACCCGCGTATAACTGTGGCCTGGTGCAAAAGACATGACGTGCCCATTGAGAAGGTCGGTCACACGCCTCGAGCCTCTGAACGCATTTCGTCGTCGTTTTACCTGTTCCCCGTTCGAAGATGTCTCACGAAATGGTCGCCCAGCAAGATGCCAACTGACAATAGTTGTGATTCGTCTTGCAGGTTTTCAATAAGTCGTTGCTAGCAAAGTTTTCGTGGGCGATGGATGTGGAACCAGATTACCGATTTTGAGCGTGGCGCGAATCACTTCAATAGGATTTCTTCCATTGATGATGTGCCCATATTGGGAGCATCCTGTACCATGAATATGGCCACTCGATGGATGCCGGAACCGAAAGTAGAAGAGATGCAGCAGATACTTGTCACGACTATGAGTCAGCAATTTAGGCTGAAACATCCATCCCTTGCAAAGTGAGGATGCGCTGCATAAAGATATCAAGTGGTTTAGGTGACCTGGAAAACACATCTGCCAGTGAGATAACGTTCGGATTACAGTTGGCTAGGCTGCATGTTATATAGCAAATGTTGAGGGGTGCTTGATTTGCCAACTGGAATACTCTTGGAAAAGTAAAAGATGATGAAGGTTAGCATTGCTTGTCATCGGTTGCTCCGAGATGCGTTCTTTGAATGCTGGTACTAGATTGGTACTAGGTAGATTGTGGCCCGCAATCTGGCCCTAATGTAAAGAAGATTTGGCATGTAACTTGAATCTTGTATGGCTCATTTCAGACGCTGTTACAAGATGTGCCGAAGTAGAAAGTTAGGATATCATTTGTTTGGATGTTATCCTTGATTCAATAAGATACCAGCACGTGATAAAAGATCATCATGATGTTGTGTTTTCCCTTCTCGCAACGCATGTGTCGTCGTACGCAATTATCTGTGTGATCCATTTCTGGAGCTGCCACGCTGCCCCACTCATTCATAGCACAGCTGCTCGTCGCCCGCGTCGAGGTAATACATCAATTTGACCATCTTGCCACCTTGTGTCTTTTGTAGAAAGCGCTTTTTCGGATCTCGTCTAGTCCCCCACCGAAGAGCCGACACCGACTCCACTCCAGCGCCGTTTCTCGATGCTTCCGCGCGGCCGCCGTGTGCAGTTCTCACATGGTCTGCACAGAAGTAAAGGCGAGTCTGTAACTTGCTCCGAACGCCATCTGACCTGAAATTTCGAAGAGGCCAAGGGCTCAATCAAAGCCAAGGATGCTCGTCCTTTACTCCTCGCAGAAGCTTGTGATGTAGCCGAGCCGGAGTGATTTCGGCGCCTCGTGAACCTGTGGATGAAGCACGCGACCAATCCTTTAGGACGAATACGGCCAAGAGTCTAGGAAAGGAACGTGTTGCACCTCCTTGAAGAGAGACGACATGCATGAAGAGAGAGACTGGCGGAAAAGGAAGACGCTCGGAACTATCAGAGTAAGGAACACGTGAAGTGCGCTCGAAAAGTCACATTGAGCTTTGCAGTCGATGTGTTTGTTTTATTCCTGTATCAGTTTTGGCACTTTCCTGAGCGGTCTGCTCGACCCATGCGATATTTCAGCTTCAGGTCTGACAGCCGCGTGAAATGATCTTCCCAAAACTTAGGAATTGTTGCGTCTCATGAATGGTGATAACAACTCTCTCCTAAGTTGATAGGTGGTGCTCAGTTGTGTTAACGCATAACGTAAATCGTAAAGCAGTTTATGCTCAGATCAAACATGGCAAGAATAACTTACCTGGAATGCGAGTGCAGAAGTGAAGCTCTTGTAATTCTTTCAAGTATGTTTTTGTTCTTTCAACAGTCCAAGAAATCGAAAATAGCCATGGAAAATGCGTTAGTTTTAAGTACACTTGACAAGTTTTAGGAGAGTGAGAGTTTCCTATCAAGTAATTGTACAGAGTTATGTTATACAACTTCGGAAGTGCCACTGGAGGGTTATTTTGTGAAATGCTCAAGCTATGGCGAATGGATAATTTGTACTTCTCTTTGAGTCTTGCGGTCGATTATTGTCAGCCCAGAATATGTAAGCGACTTTAGGTGAAATCAAGTTCAATTGATACAAAATGTGTTCTTATTACGTCAACCTCGTACAAAGCTTCACCTAATCCAGCTTAACATATTTTAAATATATGGATCAGGAGGAGCGAAAAGCGTGTGCTGAACTCTGAACACATGATTCCACGTCTCCCGAACCATTCGGCATGTCCTCCCCTGAATCAGTCAGCAGAAGTGTGCCGCTGAAACGGCAAGAAAAAGTGTCTTTAAAGAAAAGAAAAAAACCATGACACAACACGCTTGCCATAGCCAAGCTAACCCCATGAAGCTTGAATGTAGTAGTTACTATGATCAACGAATGGCACCTGTTTTTTCTTTTTCACGTCAAGCTAGTGCAAGAGCATGCACTGGGATGAATTTCGTGTGGGTATCAATCCAACGAACTAAACCCATAGACTCGAACGATGACTATATGATTGACTAACATGTTTGCTAGGAGATCTGAGGTTGTCCAGCGAAATTGAAGCTTTTGGAATGACTATGAGCTATGATAGACCGAATAAAGATGTTGACCTTGGGTTCACATCAACCACCAACTCATGTCATAAATTTTATTAATCTGCTGAATCTGCTAGAATGCCTTGCCGCTACGTATATTTCTTAATTATCTTTCTGAAATTGCGAGTCGGTTCTTCAGAGTGCTAGCAAAAGCAGCAGGTTAGCATTAGTTCATGAGATTAGTCAATGTTGGACTTCAATAAATGACGGTCTTGACCATTTTCTTACTTGCTTGATCTTGGCTCCAGGTCAAATTCAAAGCTTGGCATAGACTTCAACGACCGAAGACCTTAAAGCACCGAAACATGCAAAACATCGAGGCAGTGGGTCCAGTCAAATCTCCACACTCGTTCATGAGTTTGATTCACTTCAGCTACTCACAACACGGCAATCCCCGAATTCTGGAAGGTTCCGAGGAAAATGTGGAAGGCAAAGAAGACTGTGGAAGTCTTTTCTCGCGGTCAAAGTGTTTGTGGAACGGACAAACCTCAAGTCTTCGGTCTCTGAAATTACGCACAAAATCACAGGCCATAATTCCACCGCACGTTAGCATTCTACTGAACATCGATCGATCGATCCATCAGGTGAGTGCCAGCATTGCACAATCCAAATGCCAGCGACCTCTCGTCGTCGAGTTATTCGATTTAAAGTTCGCCGAATTTCTCCGCCGTGTTGCTGATTGCAGACGAATCTGCTGATCCCATCACGTTCACAAACATTTGCAACCCGAGGGATTCGTAAGAAAAAACTAGAGGAAGAATTTCAGCATCTGTTCGATCCCCATGAGCATCGGTGAATTTTTTCATCCGTATAATAATGGGAGCAGAAAACACCCTTCAATCGATGGACAGTCATACGGATTCGGAGCTCCATAAGTCGAACTCCGAGGATCGAAAAAAGTCGCCAGCTCTGACCGGCGCAAGGACGAGGAGCTCGTGCGTCATGCCCTCATCCGTATCCCGCGGCAGACGTTACCGGCTTCAAGTTTGAATTCTCAGCAACGCTAACGTTCCCCGCGGGCGTTTACTTCAAACTCGATCGCATCGATGATCTTCGGTCACGAAGGTTTCGTGATCGTGACTGCCATCTGCTCCCGAGATATCGAGCGAGGCGGTTCGCTCGATTGCCAGAGGAGGAGATTGTGCTACGATAATGTACGCATCTGCATCGTTGCTGCATTTGGGATAGATTCTGGGTCTGGCTTTGGGCGGGGCCTCTTTCGCCCATCGATTCTCGCGAGATGGTTGGTGTGGGATTTTTCATCCTTCCTTCACGCGGTGCTGTAATCGCGGGCGGGCGGGACGAGAAGCACCATCTCTGGAGACAGTCATCGTCGACTCTTCGTGAGACAGTCGAAGGACTCTGAGAGTCGAAGTTAAGACTGGATCTTGCGTCGACGTCGAGTCAGTCAACTCGCAGGTCGGGTTCGGAAGCGTGATTTGTCCTGGCCGTGAAATCCGTGGGTGGTCGTGAACCTCTGAGAATCGTGGGCCTGATTCATGACGAGATGCGAGAGTCGATCGTTTCTGATTGAAGGGGCCGTTACTAGCAGACAGAGCTCCACCAAATCAGACCTCTGAAAAGCTCGTGATGCTGGATGAGGACACGAATTGAAGAGACAGCGTTGGGCAATGTGGGCGACCGAAACACAGAACTTCACTTGGTACCATTGTGTTGTTGAGAGTCCTATAACATCAAGTAGTGCAGCAGATCAGACCAAGTTCTAATCTTCAGCCATTCTCCAGAAAGCATGCAACCCTACGAACTCAGCTTCGTATCAACGAGATACTGTCCAGAAACATAAGCCAAAAATATGGTACCGAAGACGATTAGTTGCTGTTGTTGCACACCGTAAGCCTCTTCGCATGATCCTGATGAATGAATATAATTAATTGCCTAGCGTGCACTTGTTGTGAGTTTTGTGACTTATGAGTTTGAAGGGACGAGCTTCAATTTCGGTCCAGGTGGAGTGACTATGCTTAAAAATGCAGAATATGCATAAGATAGTAACTCAACCTCAATTCTATTCCAGTAAATCATTGCAATCCATACATGCCTTCATAATGGACGTAATATTTCTTTGAAGACTCTGATTTTTGGAGAAAGTTCGATCATAATATTCGTTTATCTTCAATCCTTGATTCGAGATTGGCCCTTATTTACAAATGAGAAAACCTCACCCTCCAGTGGCATCACCAGTTTGATATGACATCTCAATCAGTTTGCAGCATTGTCAGAACTGTGAGAAAATAATCTCATATTTTCTCTTCTAATTTAATATAATATATATATAATTTGCTATATGATGAGGGTGCATCTATGTACAACAGAAATATCTGCCATGCAAACTCGAACCTAGCACATGAAAATGATCTCTTTTGTCCTGAATGGCTTTAATGTACTCTACCGTAGTTAGTAGACGAGTAAATGTAACGATAAGACGATGATATATGAACTAGAATTGATGACCTCACAAGAACCAAGTTAATTGATAATCGTGGCAGGTATCAAACACTTCCGAAAATTACCGATTATGAAGGAAAAATTAACAAAACTATGAACGGACGCTAGCAATTCAGAACCGACCAAAAACGTAATCAGATTACAAATTTAAAAAATCAAATCCATTAACTCGATCACGGTCTTAAGGACTGGATGATTGCAAGCTGTAGCTACTACCCAGAAAAATTTCAAAATGCATCAATGCTTGTGTTCAATTATGAATCTAGATAGTACATGTGATCAATTCATCAGAGAAACGTGAGAAAATTCTTTGATTTCACCAAACATGTTTCTGATAGCGTGGGAATTATGGTTGCTATGGACTCAGTAATGCACCCGCATGGAAAGATTCTCTTCCCAAACTGTGGGAGGAATCAGAGATCAGAATGTTTCAGAAGCTTACGAGTGATCGATCACAAACTTTGTACTTCGTAGAGGTCCTGAATTCACCTAATTTTTGGTGACAAACATGGAGAAGCACTGGCTGATTGATCGGAGCAGTGATCGGCAGTATGGAGCAGGACAGGCGAGGATTTCATATTCGACAAGCTCAGCAGGTATCAACTCATTGCCTTCTCATCTATGACTAACATTCTTCATCACCTGCCTGATTACAGTGAGCCTGTCAGAAACAAACCTACCTCAATCATGTTGCTGTAAGTCCCAACTCGTTGTTCTCATGTACTTCTGGCCTTTCTAAATATTCCACGCCTCTTGTACATCAGAAAAACCTCCCGGGAAAGATTCTTTGGTTCCTTCTTCCGATCCAGTCGTGCCAACAGTGTAGTGATGCTGCAAGCAGCATCACTCGACTGTTGCATGGGTCAGCTTCCGGAAGATGTGGATCAGATACAAGAAGTCTGAATCTCAAGCACTTTGAAACGAGGTGCCGTTTCGTATAAATTGAGCTTGTTATGCTTCTCCGTCATCATCATCATAGGAATTCATTTCTAAGCTGTCGTTCACCGTAAGACTAGAACTGTCTTGAAGAGTATCTGATTCATTGAAGTGGACGCATACTTTCGGTTTGGATCCTTTCAGGTACCTGCCAGCACTTCGATCGATTCAACAAAGTCAGAATGGCTTCTGCCAGGCGTGCAGGGTTCGCCAAGGTCTTGACTGTTGCAGCTATGGCGATGTCTGTTGTTGGAGTTGCTCAGGGATACGATCAGATGCATGCTCCTGCACCCGGGCCAGTGGAGACTTCTTCAGCTGCTGGACTGTCACCGACAGCGTCCACCCACGCAATGGTCGCCTCTTTGATCGTCACGGTCGCTGCTTTGGTTGCATCCAAATTGCTTTGATGGTCGACGTCAAGTTCTTTCTCCACCAAAGGATCGACCAAAGTTGAGAGGTTGAAAAGGAGATTTTCGAGATTATAGATTCAATCAGATTTCATTTGATGTAGCGGGTTGGAAATTTTATTGTGAACTCTCAGAAACAACCTGTGCTGACAAACTTCATGATGAGCGAAAGTTTGCTCTTGGAGGCTGCGCTGAGTCAAAATATGCAGAACACACTATATGGCAAATTCAGTAATTTCGTGCTGAATTGTAAATGCTTGTAGATCTCATCAGACGCAATCATCTTCAAGCTGTATCCGAAAAATGTTTCATGCCATGAACTGGGAGCTATTTCGCATTCATTCTAATTGTTTCCCTTACCACGATTGTCTCAGACGTGGACGAATGTTTTCTCTTATTGCTTTATAATATCAAATTAAAGGAAGATAATAATATGAAGTTACTAGTTACGAATGAATATTCTGTTACCCTCTTTTCTCTTCCAAGTTAATAATCAATGATAAAGATAACGGATGGCACGCCAATGGCCAACCTTGAGGCAACTTCTAAGCTTTATGAACTAGTTTTTAGAATGTGAAGAATCCCCAAGTTATACTTCCTTCTGTTCACATGCTTTGACACGTACGAGATGCTTACCTGGTCATCCTGGACTTATCGAACACATTTGGTGGTAGTTTTTCTGGGTTTTACGTGCCAAAATTCAGTGTTTGTTTGTTATGTGACATCAAAGAGAGTTGCTATGCAAGAAAAAAGACTTAGATCGAAAGAAATATGAAGCATTTTTCGAGTAAGTGATATTCTTCTTCCCTTCCTCATTACATGTTTCAGATCTCTTCAGCTGTGGAGATGAAGCTTTCTATATAAGACGTTTTAGGAGAATATTAAGACCATATTATGTTTGAGATATCTTTAGGATAGGAGAGATGAAGACACATACAAGATCTGGCATCAGAAGAACATGTCCTCATAAAATTCAACTGTATACTGATAAATACACTGGAACTGAGGAGTACAATGAAGCGGCTGAGCTAGCTGGAAGACACTTCAAGATCACATCCAACGTTATTGGATCTGATGTGGAAGTTGCTATCCACTTGGCACCCTAGCAGGGTTTGAAAATCAAAGATCTTGTGGTCAAATCTCCCTCTCTATTTTGCTGTCCACTTGGCATCCTTGCAGGGCTTGAAAAATCAGGGGGTCTTGTCATCAGATCTTCAGTTTTTTTCTCTATCCACTTGGCACCCTTGCAGGGCTTGACAAATCAGGGGGTCTTGTCATCAAGACTCCCTCTCTATTTTGCTGTCCACTTGGCTTCTTCTCAGGTTCAGAATTGATTCTGTCTTGTCATCAAATCTCCTTCTCTATTTTGCTGTCCACTTGGCTTCTTCTCAGGTTCAGAATTGATTCTGTCTTGCCATCAAATCTCCCTCTCTATTTTGCTGTCCACTTGGCTTCTTCTCCGTTTGAGAATTGATTCTGTCTTGTCATCAAATCTCCCTCTCTATTTTGCTTTCCACTTGGCTTCTTCTCCGTTTGAGAATTGATTCTGTCTTGTCATCCAATCTGCTATCCACTTGGCTTCTTCCAGGGTTCAAAATTGATTCTGTCCTTTCATCAAATCACATCTGCTTCTCTGCTTCTTCCGTATTGTTGTTGCTTTCATCGACCCGAAACAGTCTCCACCGTTCGTCGACACCCTCCGGCAGTTATACAATTGGACATGAGAAGGGATTTTAGCTAAAAACCCTTTACTTCTAGTAGAAACAACTGATTTTAGTCCATCACTTGTACTAGACTTTTATCAGGTGATCAATTCAGCTCTCACCTACTCTACCTTCTTCTTCAACAACACTGACTGGAAACTTGGAATAATCACGACTCTTTCCCGTGATATTGTCGAGGAGCACCAGTTCAAATCCGTATCCAAGCTCAATTTATTGAAAAAAGAGAATATTTCAAAGTAAGGAATACAAAATTATACGTTTTTTTAAGAATATAGAATAACACATTTTGAAATGTATAGTATGAAACATATACATATACTTTATGTATTTTCCTTTGTGAAATGTGAACTACAAATCACGTATAATACTATTTCATATTTGATAAAATAAATAAATAATTGGAATGCTTTATATATACTTATATTTATTTTATTGTAAGTTCATCTCCACGGTAATGCCTAAAACCGAATGAAGATTCGAGTAAATAGATCCGACGGTGAAAAATATGTATCTGAATACGTGAGTTCTTTTAGGTGAAGAAAGGAAGCTCAGAGTTAACGTACATGAAAAATAAAAACATATAACCGGAGATTTTTACTCTAGATCTAAGGAATGGAGTCTATACTGGATTACACAGGGAAGATCGCTCACATTCTCCGCCTCTTTTGAATCTAAGTCTGGTGCTTGTTTGGATATGCCCAAGTCTCAGAGCTTCGCTTCCACCTTGTCAGTCAGAAGGATGTTGTCCAGTTTTACATCCCGATTGATGACGGGTGGGATGAAATGGTTTTGTAAATATTTAAGCCCAGATAAAATTTTCCTAAACATCAATTGCCATCATCATAAAAAAATATTGCTCCCTTTGACGCATGCAACCAGTCAATATAGACGAAAATAACTCAACTGATTCAATGAAATGATAAACACTTTTGACCATCAGAGTTCAGCCAAAGACCTGAAGTGTAGTTCTGATATGTGTCTCTTGATATCTTTAGGCGAGTGTTCTAGTCGAGTAATTTGTTTCTACATTTTCATCCCTTTGCGAGGTACCGGGCCTGAGTCAGAGCTGCCATTGCTATAAATGATCCAGGGCAAATATTTTCGGGCAAAGTTTTAATTTTGTGGAGGATTTATTATAGTAGGAATGCAGTTTGTATGATGATCAATCACATTAAATCTTGTTGGAAATCAAATATTTTTTAATAGATATCAATAGCAGACATCATCTGATCAATTTTTCGGTTTGATTAAAAGGTTAAATGATAAAGATTGACAATAGATATAAATTATGCGATGCATTTATCAATTTTTTTACTTTGAAAAATTTTCAAAATTTATTGAGAGTCTTTGCAAAGGGTAAATCAATGAGAAGGATATGCTTATCCATATCCCATCCATATTCGATGAAGATTCGGACATTCAGAAGATTATAGAGCAACTTGAGGCTAACGTTGAAAAACACCATATGTGACTCTTTAAGAAAAGCACCTCCAGTAGTGAATGAATAACTCTTGCATTAAATTTCCCACGGGCTCCCAAAATTAAGAATTACAACAACAATTCTCTATGAATTAATTATCAGTTATTTAATTGCAACTATTGAACTGCAACTAACAAATTCTGCAAGTTCTTCTGCTATGTCTCCACTCATCTGGTTTTATTACAGTTCTCTGATAGAAGGTGCACGTTTCTGTGAAATCTTGCAGAATGTATCACACGACTTAATTTGGAATGAAATGAGGCGTCTATTGGTCTGTTCAGCTTACAAGAGTCTAATTGGATAAAAGATCAGCCCAAGGTTGTGGTATTCCTTCCAGAGATATTATTCTGGGAAAAGTCTCTGTTCCAACAACCATTACATTTCTTTCAGGTGATAGTGCAAAGCGATTGCATTCAAGGCTAGCATATTACAAACTGTGGGGGTCTTGATTTAAATTTTCCATTCCTGATTACAGTGAGCCGGTGCATAAATAATATTACATCGTGTCCACTTGTGATTGTGAAGTGTTTTGAAATTTTAGGTAGTTGTCCATTTATACTATTTTGTGGGAGAAATCTATCGCTAGAATCATATTCCAGTATCGAATGTATGCTACCACCAATCATTTTTACATGAATCTGCATCGAGAATCTCTGGGTGAACCTTGGGACAGCACATAAGCAAAGGCAGGGTCAATCCTCGTCAAATTAGGATTTTAGACCGCAGAATATTTCTTCAAGTCTACTCAATGACCAGCGAAAGGGTCGAAAATGAGCAGGAAATAATAAACTATGTTTAGTATTATTTTTTGTAACACTAAAAATAATAAGCAATGGATATCATGACTATGGATTTCATCACTCCCAGCTTGTGGCGAAAATGTCTATGCAGATTTTTAATTTATTTTCTTCCACCTTAAGATTATATTCCGCGGGTAGCTAAGTAACTAGATACTCTTTGTATTTTCTTCTTTGTCTGGTGAAGGTGATGCCACCATTGTGCCTGCACATAAACATTAGTACATCCACAAAAAAACATCTGTATTGTGGAGTAAAGCTAACCTCACTATATTTGAATCCACATAGATATTAAAGAATAAGCATTCAGTTGTATGTAACAGGAAGAGTGAAATTAAAGGTTGAGATTGAAAGTACCTGCTTTGCTTATCACATGAAATTCAATCAAACATCGTAAATACATGAAAATACTTGGCTCCTTGATGGTAAGCTTACTTCTTGATGAAATAATCTGGGAGAAGTAGCAGTGCAAATTTACGTGCCTCAGTAAATAATACGGATGTGCATGTTTGAACGATTTTTAACTTGATAAATAGAAGTTCAAAAATAATCCATTTAGATTCCGAAAGACACGTCGATATATTGCTACATTTCATGTTACAACACAGAATGATAGGGCAACGTTACGTATGTCACTCGTCATCATCTTCACTATTTTTACATGTTTTATACTAGGTTTGTCAAATTTGGATTGATTTAGGTTTCATTTTTAAGAAGAAACGGACACCTATCCAAAAACTACAGGATGTGGTAAATATATAGCGCAGATAAATATGATTTCATTATTTTTCTTCCTTAACGTCCTCGTAAGTTCAGTGAAGATCATTTCACTAACGGCTGGTGTTTAACCTTTTTTTCGAGAATCTTACCTTTAGTATAATATATATATATATATATCTCTATTTGATTATTAATAGTATCCAGATTTTTTAAATTATGAATCAAAGTTTTCTTCCAAACATTTTTATATAAATATAAATTCAGATTTTTATTTTTTTTAATCTAATCACAGACACTCATAATGAAACGAAAATGCATCGCTCGACGTCGAACACGGTGCGGTGACTTTCAGCTCTTGGTCCTCCTCCTTCAATGGTGTCCGTCGTTGCAGAGCTAGCTTGTCCAAATTGGATCCCTTCGGGGGGTCGAACTAAGACCGACCACTTTATCTGCGCTTCATTATTTACGACTGACAGTCTTCCCGCGCAGGTGCGTTCCAAATTTATTAGGGCACCGCAAACCGATGGACAATCTAGGCCGCGTGAGGTCGTGT